ACCAGCTTAACTTCAACAAACTCTGTTCCTTTAACAGCTATGTCCCCATCTGCTTCAGTTTTTGGTGTCACAAAATTACATTTTTATACATTGTGGATCCAGAAACATAAACTAATAAATCTTTTAATAAAAATGTGAAGTTTCACTAGGTTTGACAATAATTGTTTTTAATATGTATTAGCCTTTCAATCATATGGAAAACAAGAAGTGGAATTACATGCCAATGTTACAATAATACTAGTTTTTATAATTGCCCATGTATTTACCGTCACTGAGATCCATATTTTGTCTATGTTTGTCAACAGTAACTACAAGTTACTGTTTGGTATGCTTTCATTTCAAACTTCAGGACTCCCTTTAGCATTTCCTGCAGGGGAGGTCTATTGGTAAAAAGTTCCCTCAGCTTTTGTTTATTTTGGAATGTCATAATTTCTCCTTCATTCTTGAAGGACAAGTTTTGCCAAATGTAGGATTCTTGGTTTAAAGTTTTTGGGGTTTTTTTTCCCCCTTTAAGCATTTGAAATGTATTAATCCACTGCCTTCTGGTTTTTAAAGTTTCTGATGAGAAATCTGCTGATAATCTTATCAGGGATTCCTGGTAGGTGATGACTCATTTCCCTCTCGCTACTTTTAAGATTCTGTTTTTGGTTTTGGACACTTTGGTTATAATGAATCTCAGTGGTGTCTCTTTGAGTTCATAGTTCATCTTATTTGGAGTTCATTAAGTTTCTAGAATGCTTATATTCAGATACTTCATCAAATTTGAGATGTTTGTGGCCATTGTTTCTTCCAATATTTTCTCCACTCTTCCTTTCTCCATTCTCCCTCTTGGGCTCCCACAGTGCATATGTTGGTTGACTTAATGGTGTTTCACAGGTTGGTTCTGTTCACTTTTTTTTCCATTTTTTTTTCTTCTTGATCCTCATACTTGATCATTTACATTGTCCTATCTTCAATTTCACTGATTCTTTCCTCTGCCTGCTCAAATATGTCTTTGTATTTCTAGAGTAAATTTTTCATCTTAGTTATTGTACTTTTAGACTTCAGGATTCTATTTCTTTTTATGTTATCTATTGTAATTTCCATTTCGTCCATACATAGTTTTCTTGACTTCCTCCATATCTTCCCTTAGTTCTTTGGTATATTTAAGGCAACTTCTTTAGTCTTTATCTAGTCGATCTGCCATCATATCTTTTTCAGGGATCATTTCTGTTGGTTTTTCTCCTTTGAATGGGCTCTACTTTCAGTTTCTTTGTATGCCTTGTGATTTTTTTGTTGTTGAAAACCGGACGTTTGCATCTACGAATGTGGTAACTCGAGGTATCAGTCTCCTCCTTAAGACCCTGTTAGATGCCTCCTTTGCCTCCTTCCCCCCAGTTTGCTGTTTTCTGCTATTGTTTTTTGTTTTTTGAATTGTTGTAGGCTATCTCTGTGTTGAATATCAACATGAGGTGTAAAGTTAAGGTCTTCACACGTTTCCTGAACCTGTGCCTTCTCCTAGGCTTGCACAATGACTTTCTTTTTTTTTTCTTTTTGAGACGGAGTCTCACTCTGTTGCCCAGGCTGGAGTGCAGTGGCGCGATCTCGGCTCACTGCAAGCTCTGCCTCCCGGGTTTACGCCATTCTCCTGCCTCAGCCTCCCGAGTAGCTGGGACTACAGGCGCCCGCCACCTCACCCGGCTAGTTTTTCGTATTTTTTAGTAGAGACGGGGTTTCACCGTGTTAGCCAGGATGGTCTCGATCTCCTGACCTCGTGATCCGCCCGTCTCGGCCTCCCAAAGTGCTGGGATTACAGGCTTGAGCCACCGCGCCCGGCCTGCACAATGACTTTCTAATTTCCCCCTTATATATGGTTGCTTTAGAATGTACTAGTTTTCAATGTCTGGCTCCCAAAAGGAGACAAAAAATGAAGAAAAAGAAAAAATGGTGTCAGCCTTCAAAGTCTCTAAAAGTCACCTTCAGCCTGTGGGAAGGGGTTGACCATAATGTGTGGAGGAAACAACAACAGTGGTCTCTGCCTCTTTGCACCTCTATGATCAGAGAACAGATCCCCTGTGTTGGGGGGACAGGCCCGTTTTGCCCACCTGGGCTCCCACAAGCTGTGTGCAGGCTCTTCCTGGAACATGTGCGCATCTGATGCCACAGGGCTTGGGAGTGGGGAATGGGTAGCTACTACTGGGCTAACAGCAAAATTGTTATTATTGATTTTTGTTATTTACCAAAATTAACTGCAAATTACCAACCAAGGTTTTCCCTGAAAGTTGCAAGCCATCAATGGATTCCAGAGTTTCAAAAAAGTTACATCAAATAGATTCTGCCAGTGTAATTACTGTCTAGGTGGGTAGACAGATTTCTGGTACTTCTTACTCTGCCATCTTCACAGAATCCTCTTTTAAAACTGATATTCTAATTGTATTCCATATAACTGGCAAAGCTGAAAAATACTGAGTGAGCAAAGCAGAGATATAGAAGATACTTTAAGAAAACAAAACACTCAAGTCAGACTTTATGAAACTATAATGTCTGAGATGAAAATATAATGGAAGCAATTAAAAGCAGATTAGAAGAATAAAAGGTTAGTGAACTTGAAGACAGCAATAGGAACTACCCAAATAAAACAGGGGAAACAAAAACTTGGTCAAAAATTAACAGAGCCTCAATGACCTTGAAAAAACTTCGAATGGCCTAATACACATAAAATCGGAATCTCCCAAAAAGAGAAGGTTGGAGGGACAGAAAAATCATTAAAGCAATAATGGGTAAAAGTTTTACAAATTTAATAAAAGCTATAATTCCACAGTTCCAAGAAGCTCAACATGAAGAACTAGAAACAAGAAAACTACACAAAGGCACACAAAAACCAATTGGCTGTAAGCCAGTAAAATAGATCTTTACTCTGGCACCACCAGTTGAGACCAGTAGTAGCAGGTTATTCTGTTTTACAGTTTTTACCCTAACATTTTTGGGATCAACATCACTGCACTCTCTCAGAGGTGCCAGCATCAAATGGCCAGAATCTCCTCCCCAGAGGTCTCCGTCCCAGCTCTACAGGGGGCTTTCCTCTGTGCTACTGAGGTACCAGGACCAACACCAGACCGTGCCTCCTTTTCATGGATCCCAGTCCAAGCTTTCTAAGACTCTCCTTCCAAGCTTCTAAATGCTGATAAACATAATCCCTTCCCTTTGCTCTGTAGCCCTAGGGGTAGGAGCTGCTTCCTATTATAGCCACCTCTGTGATGTCTTACTGTTCTCTTTTCGCCTGTTTAACCAATTCTTTACATTAAGTACTCTATATTAAAAACTACTTAAATAACAGAGAAAGATGATTGCATCTTGTTAGGTATAAGCTTTTTCTACTTTTTAAATTTTTTAATCAATTTTTTTAGAGATAGGATCTCATTCCATCACCCAGGCTGACATGCAGTGGTGCAATCATGGCTCACTACAGCCTTGAACTCCTGGCTCAAGCGACACTTTCACCTTGGACTCCGAAGTAACAGGGACTACAGGTGAATGCCACCACACCTGGCTACATTTTTTTTTGTAGAGATGAGGTGTCACTTTGTTGGCCAGGCTGGTCTTGAACTCCCTGGGCTCAAGCAATTCTCCCATCTTGGCCTCCCAAAGTACTGGGATTATAGGCATAAGCCACTGCTCCTGGCCCACATTTTAAAAATTATTGTTGTATGAAATTTCAGATACGTACAGAAGAGCAAGTGTAGAGGCTAAGTACTAGAGATTGGAATGGGTTATGAGTTATTCTCTCAGCTTCAAATCCATCTCTTTATTCTTATCTTTGAGATTTGGGGCTTTGCCAGGTGCATGCTCAATAGACTGTGCCCAAAGCATGTGCTATAGTGAGATAGACGGCTAGAGAGGGAACAAGGGCCTTCTCCCTCCTGTTTTACTTCCTGTTGCTACCAACATCACCCCAGTAGTGGTTCTTCACTCAATAAGTAGCAAATGATTCCCAGAGCAGTAGTTGGCTCAATTTACCAGTTTTCTTTTCCTCATGCTCCCAGAGGCATCCTCATCGTGCCCTCATAGAGATTCAAGCACCAGCTACCTGCCATGCTCTTCTCCAAAGTCTAGGTCTCAGAGCCATGGATTTTCTAAACTGTTTTTCAATTCCTGAAACCTTTCCTAAATACCTGAGGCAAAAGCACTGATTAGGTTGTGTTCCCCTGTTAGCCTTGTGGGGTCTTTCCTCAAATCCTCAGATAGCAGTGACCAAACCCCTCAGACGTCTGGATCCAAACTCTGTAGTGCTGCTCTCTCAAGATTCTAAATTCCAGGAACCTCTTCTCTTTGTTCCCACATCCTTAGCTGATGTGACTGCTTTCTGCAATTACTACCTCTGTGATACATTCCTTTGGCATCTTACATAAAGATGTAAATTACACCAATTCTTTTCATATGCGATTTTACACACAGGTTATTTTAACTTTTGAATCTTATTTTCTTTCATCTTATCCCTTTCAATAAAGGCTAAACTATACATATGTATCAGTCCTTCTGAAATGTAAAAGATCTAAACTAATTCGCCTTTATCATGCTCATGTTTGTTCCACTTTATCCAAGGGGCAGTGTTATAGAGAGACCAAGAGACATAAGATGAGAAACTCCCACATCCTTCAGGATCTGGGGAAAATTAGCTTCTAGGAAGCTAACTCTCCTCATCTGTAATAACTCATACAGAGCTGTTGTAAATATCCAGGAAAGCATTTATGTGGAAGCATTTAGCAATCATAAGTGCAGTGTAAATTAGTTCCATTACCATTACCAAATATGACTAGATGGTAGAAGGAAAAGATAATGAAATGAGAGGCGAAAAGAAGAAAAATAACTGAAAAAAGTATTCTAGAGTTTCTCTACCCACTCAGAAATAGAATAATACACAGTTTTTAAAAAATGTGGATCTCCATGTTTTCCCATTACACTCAACTCGAATCCTCAGCCCATATAGCACAGATCCTTTTTGCCAAGGAGACAGAAGCCAGTTATTAACAGACAGCAAATACTGTTTATTGCAGACTTTCCAGCTGACTCATGTGAAAAAGGCACTATGAAAATTAATGAATCTAGATAATTTCTCTAAATGATTTATGTTAAAATATACAACATTCTTACATAACATCTGTTTTATATATGTGAAATAATATAACATTTAATGACAAAAATTGTGTTTCCAAAAATAACATTTGTTGAAGGTTAGGTATCTTTCTTTTCTCTATGTGGACTCTTTCACAGGATTAAAATATGTGTAAATTAAGTGCTTCTTAATACCAGAAAGACTTGACACAGATAAACACATAAAATGGCCCCATTTCCTTTTAACTACTTATATCAACATTCAGAACTGAGGCTTTCATTAAGCAAAATACTGTAATGCACACCAATGCAGACTACTTCCTTTGCTAGACTTTGAGCAGACATGACCTCTTTCCCATTTGTGCTTTCTCATATATAAGAACACAGTATACATAATAAGCAGAATACAAACTAAATCAAAATACAAGCTACACAAGGAACTGCAATTGACAGAGCCACGACAAACTGTCTTGAGAATGCTCCATAGATTGATATTTGCATGTCCAAGGTATGGCTGTACTTTACAGTTCATTCAAATGTTTTAATTGTTTTAAACTGTTGGCATTAAGAACTTTAAATAAATCTAAATATTCTTCCATCGATTATGTCAGAGAAGAGACCTAAGTAAGCAGAGGCTAGCCTACAGTGAGCTACGCCCTGAATGACAGACACCATATTCACAGGCACAATCGAAACTGCTTAGATTTTGAATCATGGACAATACTGTTGCTTTGTTGCAGTGAAGAACGCCACCACCATCAAAACAATTCCTGCTTATACCCTGGGATGGGGATCGAATAATTAATCTAATAAAGGAGACTTCACCTTGGTAAAGTAAAAAAAATATTTTCCAAGGTCAAAAAATTCAGTTTAAATTTTTTCAGTTTCAATAAAAATAATGCGCCTAGAAGCAAATCCTGTGCTCACTCAGGTTTGCATGGGTCTTTTATGGCGATAAATTACACCCAGAAAAATGAATCTGACATTCCCTTCAAGGCTTCTTAAAACAAAGCATGTTGGAATAATGCCAAAAACAATGGAGTTTAAAAACAAACAAACAAATTAGTGACTGCTTCCTTCATCAAAAGATTCCACTCCTGAATCACTAGCAGCAGCACTGATTTTTTCCTGTCGTCTTCTCATAATTTCTTGTAACTCGGAGCTGCCACTGCTATCCTGAAAGATAAATAGTTCAGACAAGATGGTTACTGAATCGTGCAGGCTGCAGGTCATATCATGAAATGGCTCAGGACAAAAGTCTACTGTGGTTTTCCTCGAGTATCTCTTTAGGAAAGCTAACAGCTCCCCTTTTTAAGTGAAGCCTCTGCACTTCACTCATATATCACATTAATAATTTTTCATTTTGTAAAGTCTGTTAAGGCAATTTACCCACCAGGCCTTTCATTAGAACGTGATAAAGATAATCAATAATGTATGTGTAGTACTGCAGGTTTGCTGAGAGAAAAAAGAGGGTATGTATACAATAAGCATAGTAACATGGTAAATTATCAAATAACTCTTTTGGGGTCAAACAAGATACTGATCTGCCTTTAGAAGATTTTAACTCAGGCCAGAGTGGGCTCCGAATTCACCCAGTTTCCCCTCCATATAGTTCTGACCCTCCGATCATGCTGGCGTTGCTTTCCCATCAACTGAAGTCTCTGGCAACACAGGCGAATAATCTAAAAGATTAACTAGATCCAAGGAAAGGGTGAGGTGGTAGAAGGTGGCTGAGGAACATGAAGAACCTCAGGTGGTCAGCCTCTGCCTCAGTTCCCATCCAGAGAATAGGAAGAGAACAAGAAGCAAGAGGCCATCCTGAAGTGGGTGGTGACAGCAAATGACAATAATGATAGGCAGGTGTGGGATGAAGGAATTCAGAAATTTTAGGAATATGAAATTTTCTAACATGCCTTGAAGAAGTAATTATACACTCTCAACAAAATTAAATATAGTGGTAAAACTGCTTGAGAAAAATATATAATCCTTAATAACAGTCAACATATGGAAAGCAATCAAATCTTAATATGGAGCCTTCAAGATCAATGTTGTAGGGAAAACCTCCGAGGGAAATATAATTTCTGTGGATTCAGAATGGCTACGGGGTGATATGCATGAAGTGATTTTACCCTGAATTATTTAACTATTGAATTTATAGAATATACCTGTTAGAGATGATCATGGATCAATTTCATGCCAAAGCCTACATTCTTTCATTTGAGTCCAAGTATAATTTTCATGAAACTATTAAGAACTGTGAGATGTAACAGTTGGAAACTACTACCCGTACACAGCACATTTTAAGTCTAAAATAGGATATTTGCAGTTTAGTATAAACCAATCTAGAAACATGGATTCTCCTGCTTTCATACAGACCATTGTGACTAAATACTTTTCAGGGCTCTCTATTTTCAGTGATCTCTACCTAATGTATCTTTCCCGATTATTGAGATGTATTACTAGACCTAACACACACAGCCAGGGTTTTACAACCTTATAACCTATACACTATTAGAATCTCAAAATATATATATTAAGACTAGGCGAGTGTTCTGGCCTCTTAAGGCTCTTACTCACTCAGAAGCTAATTTCCACTGTTATGTCAAAATTAAATTTCCTATAGAAGTAGAGAATACATATAAAATGAGAACATTATGCTTTTTGTTAAGTGTCCAAAAGTATGTGCTCAAGCTTCACGTCATATGAGCATTTACAACAAATTAACCTTCCGGAAAATGTCATTGATGATCTCAGTGACAAATTTACAAAAGCAGAGTTAAATTTAATTCAGCTCTGCTAAGAAAGGGAAATTGGCCAATATGGACACAAACAGTTGTTCCCAGAGCTTTCAATTTGCAGAAAAACACCACCTTAGGTTGACAAGTCATACCTCTAATGCAGCTTTTTGTACAGTGATTTGGCTATAGACTCTCGCCCCTTCAGGGCAGACTGTCCTCAATTCATCCTTATTGAGGGAGAAAAGTTGTGCACCATTTAATACTCCAAGACTATTGACAGTCCTGAAAGAAAGAAAAGAAAAAGAAACTGAACATTAAAAATATTGCCTGCAAACAAAGGAGAAAAGTATCTGTTCCTGCCAGTAACTTCTCTTTTCTAAGTGTTCCATACCCTGGAACCCTTATTAAATGCCACCACAGTCTTTATAGTCAGGGCAATGACAAGCTTCTTTCATGATGATGACCGCGAGGCTATACAGATTATTAATTACAAAGTATCAACAAGGCGCCAATTGGGTTTAGGGTCATTGTTTAATACCAATTCCTTGGGATTTGGTGTTTCATAGAAGGAATAGGTAACTTTCTAGTAACCTGGCAATTGACCAACCATTGTACCTCATTTTTCAATCATGCTAGGTAGGTGAGTTTATAATATGTCAAGGTCCCTTGAATATGTATTATTCTAATAGTTCAATGTGCCAAATACATGTGAAATGTTTATAGACTTTTAGATAGATAAATAGAACCTTTACTATGGGTTTATTAAAGGAAAAGTTCTATTAAGATTATAATTGATGCTAGGTAACACTGCCTATTTTTTATTTGCCAGAGACACTATAACCTGCAGCAGGAGGAAAACTTGTGCTGTATGTCCTATGTGGTCTAGGAAGTTCTGCTAAGACCATGGTCCTACCTAGGTTACATCAGAGTAATCTGATGGAGAAAAGAAGCTACTGGGCGTGAAAGCTGCCGACAGTTTGCTTAAAGAACTAATAATGAACAGATACTACCAACTCGAGAATGGGGTGGCATCAAATGATAATTATATGCTTATTTTAGTTCTTTCTCAGCTATGAACAGCTACAGTGATTTCTTGAGTATGGCACAAAGTATGCAGTCTGTGCCCTTATGTCTTTTAAGAGTTATCTGTGACATCTAAGTAAGCAAATTGAAAACAATGCATGTTGTACACACAGAATTGCAAAGTATTCAGAGAGAGACTTACACAGGGTTGAATCCCTTTGACTGTAACCACGTCTTCACGTCCTCTGGTGTGGAGTCGTAAGTGATATTGATAACTGGCACGTTCTGCCGGGGCACATGGAATTTCTTCTGAGCGGCACTCCGACCAATGGTCAGTCTGTGGATGAGTTCATCCTGTACTTCCTCCATCTGAGATTTCCTTCCTAGACACCAACAGGGAGTAGGTTGTTTTTGAAAATCCCTAATATTACATCACCCTCTCTAGAAGCCAATCTCTATAATCCTTTGACCCCAGGAGGACCTACAATCTAGTGTTCCTACCATCTTTCCTCACTTTTATCCTCGCCTGGTATAAATTCCATGATCAATTATTAAAATAACTCCCTGGCTCTTCTCTAGTCACTTCATTGTACTCCTTTGGCAAAACCCCAATCCTGGTTAAATCTAACTTTCTGCGTATTCTGTGCCTGCACCTGCACAGCTGAATATAACACAACAATGCTGAATGATCTCATGTTAAATTCATGATTATGAACCTTAACTTGGCGTTAATGCTTCCTGACAATCATACTACATTTCTTTAGACTGGTGGCTCTCAACTGGGGACAATTTTGGCCCCAGAGGACATTTGGGAATATCTGGAGACACTTTTGGTTGTCACAATTGAGGAAGAAAAAGGGGAAAGCCTGCTGCTGTCACGCAGTGGGTAGAAGCCTGGGATGCACAAAACGTTCTATAATGTCAGCCTCTCCTACAGCAGAGAATAACCCAGCCTCAAAGGCCAAGAGGGCCCGGCTTGAGAAATCTTGCCTAAGGTCATGTAACTGCCCACTGTCTTAGACAAGTATTGAATATATTCTACTTTCTCTCTATAAACCCCTAACCCCATTCCCCAATCCTCACCTTGAGCTGATGATCTCGTTTCCTAATTTATGAACAAAAGAGTTGGAAGAAAACCTCCGTAAGTTCCCCTACCAGCACTTTCCCCATATGCTCTGCCTGCCTTCCTATTATGTTATATAGGAGCTGTCTCCCTGTTTCCAAGGCTAACCCTCCATGTATGCACTAGGCCTCAAGTTCTCTGCCTATTCAAATAGTCATTTCTCCCTTATTTATCCTGTTATTAATTTTCCTTCTTCACTGAATCAGTTCATCAGCCTGCAAACATGCTATTATTTTATGATTTCTGTTACCTTTAAACAAGCCCTTTTTACCATGTCCTTTCCCAGCTACTGGCCATTTTTCTGCTCCTTTTACAGCAAAAGTCCATGAAAAGTTGCCTGTACTAGTGGACTCCAATTCCCATTCTCCTATTTTTTCTTAATGTCATCAAAATTCAATTTTGCTTTTCCCCCCATCTCTCTACTACACTTTGCTAAACTCCAGCCAATTCTTTCCCAGCTACTATCTCATTTAACCTATCAGCACACATTTGAAGCAGGAGATTCCTCCTGGAAACATTTTCTTCCTGTGGCCTTCAGGATACTACAGTCTCCTCATTTTCCTCCCATGTCTCTGGATTCCCCTTCTCCGGATCCTCTTCTGAATATTCTCATCTCTCCAACTAAGTAATATTAAGGTGCTCTAGGGGACAATCCTGAGACTCATCTCTGCCGGCACTACCTCCATCAGTGACCACTGTGCTTAGGTCCACGGCCATTTAAAAGATGATGGTTACCAAATTATTTTTCCAGTCCTCTTACTCGGAACTTAGGTCCATATATGTTGTCCACTTGATATATTCATTTAGATATCTGCTAAATAGCTCAAATGCATGTCAATATAGCATGCCCAAACCGGAATTCCTGATCTTCTTCCTGAAGCTTGCTTTTATAAACTCTTAGACTTGCTTTTTAGACTTCTCAACTCACTTAATGACAATTCTATCTTTCCAGTTCTGGCAAAATACTACGGAGCTGCACTTGATTCTCTGTCCTATGCTATATCCAATTCATTAGCAGATCCTGTTAGTCCGACCTCATAATGTATCCAAAATCCAATGATTTCACTGTGTTCTTTCTGTTGCCAGCTTGGTCTGAGTCACCAGCCTATTAACAGATCTCTCTGTTTCCACTCCCTACCACCCTACCCCTTTCTCTTCATTCTCTTCTCAATATAACAACTAAGTGATTCTTTTAAAATGTAGTCAGGCCAGGTGGCTCACGCCTGTAATCCAAGCACTTTGGGAGGCTGAGGCAGGTGGATCGCAAGGTCAAGAAATCGAGACCATCCTGGCCAACATGGTGAAACCCCATCCTACTAAAAATACAAAAATTAGCTGGGCATGGTCGCGCGTGCCTGTAGCCCCAGCTACTTGGGAGCCTGAGGCAGGAGAATTGCTTGAACCCAGGAGGCGGAGGTTGTAGTGAGCCAAGATCGCGCCACGGTAGTCCAGCCTGGCAAGAGAGCAAGACTCCGTCTCAAAAAAGAAAAAAAAAATGTAAGATGTTGCAGCTCCTCTGCTCAAAACATTCCCAAGTGATCCTAATTACTCCCAGTAAAAGGCCCTACAAGACCTCCACCTCTCTAAAGCCACTCCACAACTCTTCTGGAGCCCTTCACTCTTGCTCCCAATGGCTCCCTTGGCGCTCTTCAAATTTAAAGGCCATTCCAGTCTCCTCTGCCTGGAATGCTTTCCCCTGCATCTTCACATGGCTTATTCCACCCCACCTTTACATTTCCCCCAGATGTATATAAAATTGCAACCCTTCCCCCAAAGCACTCTCTATCCACATAGTTTTATTAGTCTCCAAACCACTTACCATCTTCTTCATAGTTTTGTCTATCAACTTAATTGTTTTTTTGTTTGTTTGTTTGTTTTTGTGAAATGGAGTCTTGCTCTGTCGCCAAGCTGGAGTGCAGTGGTGTGATCTTGGCTCACTGCAACCTCCACCTCCTGGGTTCAAGCGATTCTCCTGCCTCAGCCTCCTGAGTAGCTGGGACTACAGGTGTGTACCACCATGTCCACGCCCAGCTAATTTTTGTATTTTTAGCAGAGATGGGGTTTCATCCTTTTGGCCAGGATGGTCTCAATCTGCTGACCTCGTGATCCGCCCGCCTCAGCCTCCCAAAGTGCTGGGATTACAAGCATGAGTCACCACGCCCAGCCAACTTAATCGTTTTTTAAACTACCTCCTTTCATTAAAATGTAAGCCTGAGGAGAAAAAGGACGCTTCCCTTTTTTTGTTTGCATCTATATCCTAACACCTGGAACGGTGGTGCTTTAATTCAATAACTACTTGTTGACTGAATGAATGAGGCAGTCTGCTGACTTTTTCACTGAGACTTTGAGAATCATCATGTACAAACCCCTTAAATAACCAGATAAGAAAATGAAGGCCAAAAACAGAGAAATGATCCGTCAAAGTCACATTTCAATTAGTAGAATAATTTAGCTAGAATTGGATCTTCTGACTTTCCGCACAGGGCTGTTTTATAGCCAAAGTCATTAAAATCACCTTTGATTAACTTCCCTAGCTACTCCTTTTTCCTAGTCATTTGTGCTAATGGAAAAGATGTGTGTGTATATGAACATACTGTCATGACAAAAATAGGAAAGACATAAAAGTATGGGAAGGGGAATAACGTGTCTGTGTATTTAAAAATATGTGTGTATCTATACATAGGTATGTTACCTTGTTTGTTTTCACTTTCAAGAAATAAGAACAATCTAAGTTGGCAAGTGACAATAACCTCGTCACTCATGGACCTTTTTGTGACCAATGTTCTATGATTTTTTTCCCCTAGGGGAAAGGGTTTTAGAAAGTGTTTGGTGCCCCTGGGAAATAAGGGAAAGTGTGAATAGTGTTATTTCAGTCTAATTTTTTTAATGCCTCAAGTATCTAGGAAATCTTTTGAAGGAGAAGTCAAAAAAGGGGAAAAGGGGAAGGAGGGAGGAGTAGGGGCTGCTAGACAGACTGAGAGAGAATACTATTGATTGTTACATTTAAGTATACATTACATGCATTTCATTAGTTACCTTTTAAAAAATCACTACATCAAACTGTCAAACAGCATATGAGTGCATCTCAAAGGGAAAAAAATAAAATGTATCACCATATTAAAAGATTTGGTTTCTCATCTGCTGACTTTGCCAGTATATTGATCATCACCAGTCTGCAGCATAGTTTTCTTCCAGGAAGCACAAAAAAAACCCTCCGCCTAACATGTTCCTGGGCTTTTGGTTTCCATTTCCAATGTTCTAACACACAACAAACCAGAATAACTTTACACCTTTCTAAAATAACACTCTGATTACAAAAGATTAAACTCAAATAAAAGGACTGGCATTTCAAAGGAAATGGGAGAAATACAAAGCAACTAAAGTGTTGGTATCTTAAAAGGGATAAAAGGAGAACCTTTTGGGATCCTGCGATAAAACAGTCTGAATAGCTTCTATGACACAAGGCTTCGCAGCTACTTTGAATAGGCAACACACAGACTTCCACAAAAGGGCTTCACTCTGGCCACTTGCTACGCTGTAAAAACAGGCATGTTGGCTTCTTCCCCCTGTTCATACCTGCTACTTGATAGATTTCTATGAGTATTTACTTCCTAGTTCCTTCCATTTTATTTTTACCAGATGTTTAGGCAGTAAGCAGAGAATGTGGGTAGCATGAGTAGGCATATTTTGAAAGAAATCTGGCTATCAATAAACACACACTGAAATATGTGTACTGTCTGGTTCTAAAAGAACATTAAGCCCCAACATTCATTCAGAAAACAACTGTTCTGCAATAAAGTTATCAAGAAATATTTGTTTTATAAAGAGAAATATATTTATTTAATGCCAAACTGTATTTCTGAGATATTTTAAAAAGGCACTTACATAAGTTGCAAATATATTGTAAGATTTCTATTATTCTGAGGAAACAAGTATGTGTGTTAATTTTGGGAGAGATGTTTATATTTTATACACCAATGCCACCCTTTTACTTGCAAAAAACAGACTTGAAAATGATGAGTCACAATTATCAGGAGAGTTCTCTATCTTTAAAAGTATGCAAACTATGCCTCTTTCCCACTAGGTTATTCTTGGTTTCTCAGAGTGAACAAAGAACAGACTGTCCTAACCCACACACTGCTCCAAATGGGGACTGGATGCCGATGAACTCTGATCCCAGCTAGGCCTGGAGAAAGAGTCCCACCGTGTCAAAGATGACTATGCTGACGTCTCTACGGAGGGAAATGCTATAAACTTGTGGGAAGAATAAAGAAGGGAACAGTTATTTCTGACAGGAAGTTTTCTCCTTAGGGAACTCAATAAAAATATTTATAGAAATTTCTCATCTTAAAACTATGTCTTTAGCGTCTTTGAAAAAGAAAGCTCTTTTTAAAAACTCCATGTAATTTTAAAAACTTAGTAGCATATTCTATTTTATTCTGATTATACACACTCACACACACAGTTGTTTTTGCCATACAGAAAGAGCTAATCACTTTCCAAAACTTCACTTTTCCTTTAGTTTTCTGGTAAGATAGATATGACAGTCATTTAAATTGGACATACTGTGGGAGAAAAATTAATGAGTAAAAGTAGGCTTATGCTTATTGCATTTAACCAGAATTTTTAGAATTGTTAAATAGTAATAGTTTTAGTGTCTTTTTTGTTTTTTGATTTATCAAGAATGTCCACAGCTGAACAGATGTGGCAATGACTTACTGAGGCGAGAAAAACAGGAGGATGAAAATGGGAGTGAAAGATTCAGTAATTTAGTTTTCAACATAAATAGAAAGCATCCAATCTCAGCTATAAAGTTAATAGTTCCATACTGTTATCTGGATGCCAGAGATGAATTTTAATATGATGACTAATTTGGGAATCATTCTTTTCCCAATGATACAAACAGTACTGAAAGAAATGGAAATAGAATGAACTATAGTAAAAAAGTATGTTTATGTGGAAAATGAAGGCAGAACCCTAAGAGAGGCCCACATTGAGGGAAAAATAGATATCCGTCTCTCTCTCTCTCTCTCTCTCTCTCTCACACACACACACACACACTTTATATACTTTTGTCATATTGAGGAAATATGAAATATCTTCATAGCTCTAGTTTTCCAAGAGTTTTTACATATCATGTATAGATAAAGCAAAGTAACTTTATAATACGTTTAAAACAACGAATTTGGAGATTAAATTGACATGCCACATACTACAAGGTTAAACAAAATTTACCTTAAAATTACCTTCAGTTTTCAAAATATCTACACCGCTATTGACCAACAATACAAATAAGGATAATCCAAAGTTGGTCATAGTGTCTTTTTAGTTTATTTAAATATGGTTTTCATAGAAACCATTTATATGAAACATCAAATTTAAATTTATGAAAATATGGCACTGAAGCGTAAGTCACATGAAATTTGAATTTGGAGGGTAAATCTGAGACTACTATTGGCCGGTGATTATATTAACATAGTGTGAATGTGCAGCTACTGTGAATAGCAAGAGGAAGAGAAGTAGGAGGGTTATGATGATGATGACGACAATGACAGCATGTAGTTAGTGACTGCGTATTATGTATCATACAGTGTCAGAATCAGTCAGGGGTTTTCAATCTCAGCACCATTGACATTTTCGGCCAGATAACTCCGTTTGTTGGAGGCTGTCCAGTGCATTGTAAGTTGTTGCTAAGTGTCCCTGGTCTCTACCCATTAGACATCAGTAGCATCCCCCAGTTTTGACAACCAAAAATGTCTTCAGGCAGTATCAAATGTCCTCAGAAGGATGGAGAAGAGGACAAAATCGCTCCTGGCTGAGAAGCACTGAATTAGATGCTTTCTATGCATTATCTCATTAAATCCTCACGCTTATCCTATGAAGTAGATACTATTATTTTTCTCCACTTCTCAGATATTGAAGTGCTGAGAGGATAATTAAACCACTGAAGGTCAGGCAGCTGGCAAGTGCTGTTTCACTATACAAAGTCCAGGATGTCTGGCTCCAGAGTCCGCATTCAACCATCATGATAGATTGGAAAAGGAGTAGAAAGGCATGCATTAGAGAGTGGACAGAATACTTCCTGTTTCTCAGAACCACATAGATGATGAGAAACCAGGTGAAAATCTTTGCAATCTATTAAGTACCATGCAAGTATAAAGGACTATTATTTATATTTAATACAAGTAGAATCAACAGTAAACAATATTTTACTGAGTAGTGCTTTTAATTTGCAGAAGACATTTTTTGCCTCCCTGGGAAACTTACGGTCCACCGGAAGTTGTTTGTGTCTCTGGCTGTCTCGCATGATATTGACACCACTGTCACTGGAGCTGCTGTTTTGACGCGTTACATTTGCTGGGACCTTTGACACAGGAACAGGTGCTGGAGTGGAAGGGGGAAGGGGGACAGGAACAGGAGCTGGTGTTGGAGGAGGTGATGGAGCAGGGGGAGTATCAGCTGGTCTTGGGCCATACTCCATCCTTTGTTTCTATAAAAAGGCAAATAATTAACTTAAAATTTAAAAAATATAAACCTAGGCTAGGAAAACAAATTATACTTGGATAGGACATTGTTGGCTATTTTTAAACTTACTTGCAAACCCATTACAAATTTATCTGTAATCCTATATGGTATAATGACCATTAAAAATCGTATTTTAAACATTCTACATAATTTGTTCAAAGTCAAAATGTCAGTTAAGGAGTCACAAGGCTACGTCAATAGCAAATAGTAGTATTATAATAATAAATGTCAAGAAAACTGAATTTGGGCTTGGAATCACACAAGACCAGGGGAGGTAGAAAGATTTATAATTATTTTTAAATTTATGCTAATAATAATTTGCAATTGCACTGGAAGTCTAAATGTCAATAGCATAAAGCATTACTTACTCATTTTAAATGTATGCTATATTCAAAGATTTTAAATTCTGTTTCCAATAAATAATTTTAAAATATTGGTATTATTTTGTTCAAGGCATAACTTTTTCTGCCAGCATCTTAATGCTAATTTATTAAAATTAGAAATTTCCCTCGTTAAAATGGAAATGTCGTGAGGTGGATGGTTGTGAGGGTAATAGTATGGTTTTTAAATGTTTATGATTGCAACTCACAAATGAATACTAGAAAGGGACCTGTGGCCATTTGTATTAAAAAAGGTAGGTGTGACAAAATGCTTTTTAATAATTTTAAAAACATGATTGTTAGGCATACCTATAAAACAGCATTTGTGAATATTCCTTATTAAAACACACACAGCAGTTAACACTTTAAATCTAAATAAAACAATTTTAATAGGTAACGCATTGTGAGAGGCTCCAAATTCTCAAAAGGCACGTTTTCTTTTTAGAATCAAAGATACAGGGCAATTATTTGTAATTAAGGCAAAGTTTAGATACTGCACTGGCACAATTTTAATTATTCTAATTTAGGCTTAGCATATTACATGCAAAAAGACCTTTTGGTAATCTGGTCCTTTGATTAGAACAGTATTTAGTTTTAAATTCTAAAGTGGCCCAAATATCAGGTAATATTGATTTTAAGAGAGTCCTCCCAATTTCCACAGAGATCAAAAACAAACAAAAATACACACCACACAGAGACACATCACTTTTTCATTAAACTATTACTCAAAAACAACACATCAACCTTCATCAGTCACCTTCATGGTAAATGACTAACACCTGTGGAAACCGGTGTGGGAAGGAGCCCTCATTCTTTTCAGCTCTTTGTTTCAAAGCTGCTACTCACCGACCAGTGGGATGGGGTCGAGGAAGTGGGAAGTGTATTATGAAAGGATGGAAGTATATCTGAAAGGAGTGTTTATAATGCTGGTAGATGCTGAGGGAAGAAGGAGGGTAAGGAGGAGAGAGGCAGGACGGGAGGGAAGGAGGGAGTAGAGGGTAAGATTCTCAGAGTGAAAGAAGGGAGTTAGGTGGGACAGAAACTGAGTTTCTAATCCCCTTAGCATTCAAGGCTTAGAAATATTTCTAATGTATTCAATACTGTATTAGAATGAAAGAATGAATTGTTATTATTATTCCCCACAAAACAATCTTCCTATATTTGGGCCAATAAAATACTTAAAGCAGTCAAAATACAGCAAACATCACCAGAATGTAATACTTAGCACACACAAAAGTCTTCTGATTAATGTATACGCAATGTTCCCTTGACAAGAATGTCCTCTGCACATAATTTTATGAAGAGCTAAGGAATTCTCACATTAGTGTTTCAAAAGCATCATAGTTTCAATTATTGTTTTTAAAGCCTAAACAAACAAAAATGCCATGAGCCCGCTTTCCATGACATGACTCATAATTTTTGCTTTTGCTAGTCATCACATACTACTGTGAGAAAGTGAATAAACTGTGTTACTGTCACAATCAAGCTTGAAAATAAACTCACCAAATGTTCTGTGCCTTATTTCATTCATGCCATTGTTACATAATGCAACTTTATCAGTATGACCTAACAAAATAATAGGTTTAAAATACATATTTGATTAAAGGAAACCCATATGAAAATGTATGCCATAAATTATATTTACTTGCATATTTTCCTCTTTACTTAGTCCTCTCCTCCTGCCCCATGTTTTCAACCTCTGACATGAAAAGGGGGGAAGTACCTTCCTTGAATCGTGACAACTGGTTCTGAATGGCAACCAAGACAGCTCTTCCATGGAAACTGTTTGAAATTCTTCATGTGGAAGAAAAAGAATCAGCACTGACTCCTAACGTCACTTTTCTGTGTCCCTCCCTAGCTTCTCTACTCCTCTTTACCTACCACCCAACTACTGCTCTTCCTTTCCTTACGTTTGTCTCTTGACTATTTTTTGTTGAAGCTACAGAATTAATGATTCCAGTGTATCTCAGTTTACAGAATGTCTTGGAGAACAGAAGTGCACTCTGAACACTCTTCTCCTGAAACAAAGGTACTGAAGCTCCAAATTCAAAAAAGAAATTCTGACCAACTGTTCTTGGTTTGTCTGAGACTTTCCCAGTAATTAACACTGAAAGTACCACATCTTCACAAACCCCTCAGACTCCCCAACTAGGAACTGGGAGGGTTCGTCAGCCTGGTGTGGACCTACTTTTGCACCCAACTGTCACTTCCTTACTCTTGCCTGTGATATCCCACAAATACAAAGTTCTGTTAGAAGTAAAATGCATCTTTTTGTCTCTCTTTCTCTGAAAGAAGGCAGAATTAATAGACCCCATAAGACATTTACTTTCCTATTGATAATTAAGTTGGAATGAGTCACTTTTCTTTAGCAACTTCAGCTGAGTAGAAATTCTAAAGAATTAAAGAATGCTATTGAGAGATAAGGTCCTGATTCATACAAGATGCTGCTTCAGAGGGGAAATTATGCAAGTAAGCTCAACAAAGCCATTAAAATTGAACTGTTCTTAAATATTTAACCTACTCTAAATTACACATTTTTCCTCTAAATTTGGTTTCTTTGGAACTCTGCAGTGAAAACTAAGCACAGCTGGAACATTTGGAGGGTGTTAAGTCCAGAGACTGAATCCAAAAAATTATATTAAAAAGAAGTGCCATGAGGGAACGAATGTGGGTTACCTCTGACAGCTCGCCAAGTAATTGCTATTAGGAAAATGGAGCAAATCACATCAAATGAGAAAATTAATACAGGAAATGGAATTAAAATAATATCAATTATAATTCACATCAAATATCAGAAACAGTAAATTAGTCTGACAGTAAAATTACATGCCCACAATCAACCAGTGAAGGAGCCTGTAAATCTATAATTAATTCCCATCACTATCTAGCCATGGAAAACTAATCATATAGATTCTACTACAGTAGAAACAGTGTAAAGTACTTCCATAGTAACTATGCTTAAGTAAAATACTAAGATATAGGTTTATTTTATTCCTATTGCTCATAAAGAATACAATGAGAATGCATTAAATGCAAGAGTAATTCTTGTTTAATTAGCTGATTTTACAAAAGGTAATACTGCAATGCATTATGGTGTGATTTTAGTGAGCTTTAGTTTCAAACTTTGTGAGCAGCCTGAACAAACATAGAACATTTAATAAAATTATGTACATGTGCATGTCAGACAGTAATTATCAATACTTTATATATGTATAAAAATACATATATATATTTAGAGTGGGTATTATTCAAATTATCATTAAGAAGCCTCTGAGAAAATGTCAATACATGTGGCAGAATAAAAAGTAAACATCTTTGTCTAAAAACCATGCCTATAATTAATGAGCAGAGTCTTCCGAGATTAATTTTTAAAAAACAGTTTTGAAGAACTGAATATTATCAGGAGCTTGGCCTGGCTGGAAGAGTATGAAGCCATCTTTGGTAAAATGGTCACTCTGTCCAGCAGTATCTAAATGTCTGGACTGAGCTTAAAAAACAGAGCACTAATAACATAGGCTGAAATTAGTAGTGTTAGTGGTTTAGTAATCACCTGTAGAAAATATTTCCCCTTTTAATTTAGGGCTATTTAAACATGTATATAATGAATGAGAAGATTTTATACCTAGACTGGATTGTAGAGACCACATAACTGACTCCTGCTATTTCATGACCAAGTGAATTGGAACACAGAAATATAAAACGCTCTCTTTAAGGACTAGAACCCTCATCTACCAATAGCTAGATTGGGGCTTTTCTCATGGTATCATATTACAATATCTCTTGCTAGACAACAGAGAATATGGGAAATGTTTTGTTGAATTCACATGACCACAGAGACTGGACATTCATAATTATTTGAATCTTGGTAGAGTAAGAATACCTATAATAATAATAAATGCATAGATAATAATTAAGAATAAATGAGAGACTTCTTTAGTAAGTCCACCGGATATATAATAAATAACATCAGGGGAGGAGGTGGTTTCTGCTCTTGGCATATAGCTTGCAAATTTAAATGGGCACAAGGGTAATTCTGGTAGATGAGCAGCCACAGGGCTAGAGGTCTGAGAATCAAGTCAAAATAAAGATCAGGAAACTTCATGTGGCAAGTAGCTTCCAGGTGGGGAGAAAGCACCCTGGATGTCCATCTATTGCCCGGCTCAAATACTATAAAGCCTTGGAATGCTGTACAACATTCTTTATCAAAAGACGTCTTTATCAAAAGACGTGTTATCTCTCCAAAATCTCTCCTCAGCATTGACTTCCTTTCTCTGTGGTTTATTCAATCTTTTATGTCAGTATCTTTTGTATATTTTTATTACTCTCTCTTTTATGTTTAAAACTTTGCTGAAGCCATGGGGGAAATACATTAGGTGGGAATGGTTGTCTTTACAGAGCTGTTAAAAATCACTTCAAATGTGAGGATGTTAAATAGCCTGGACTCTCAGGGACACCAGGTGGCAATTCAACACCTATTCACTGGTGGTGCCTGGTATGAGCATCGCTGTCATCAGAACAGAATCTCTGATAAAAAGTGTGTGAACAATAGGCAAGAGCTGCACTTGTGCCCTTCACCCAGAAACTGCCATTATTTATATCGATTTCTTTATAGGAAATGTAAGGGCATAAGAATAAGAGTCATGACTGTGTCCATTTTTTAAATATTTGGTGACTCACAGATGTTGCATGGAAATAGTTTACACCTAATTCCCTTACTTCCACCACTTACAAAATGTCCTATTCTAAGTAAATCATATAATTTGGGTTATTTTCCTAAATTATAAAATAATGAAAGATACCATGGAATCCAGGGAATGGATACATAAGGCAAAAATCAATTTCCAAGGATTGTGACTGATCAGATCAACTTTTACCACAGTATAATGCAAAGTAAAGCTATTCTGAGAAAATACCACTTCAAATATTAATACAGAGAAAAACTATGGGTTTATACAAAAAGAGATGACAACCTTTTTTTTTTTCTTCTTTTTCTTGTTTTGAGACGGAGTCTTGCTCTGTCGCCAGGCTGGAGTGCAGTGGCACAACCTCGGCTCACTGCAACCTCTGCTTCCTGGGTTCAAGCGATTCTCCTGCCTCAGTCTGCTGAGTAGCTGGGATTACAGGTGTGTGCCATCATGCCTGGGTAATTTTTGTACTTTTGGTAGAGACAGGGTTTTGCCATGTTGGCCAGGCTGGTCTCAAACTCCTGACCTCAAGTGATCTGCCTGCCTTGGCCTCCCAAAGTTTTGGGATTACAGGCGTGAGCCATTGTGCCCATCCGAAATAACCTTTTGTAATCACTATTCTCTAGAACAGCAGAATGCAACACAGCACAGGCTCCGGATCCGGAGCACTGGGGCCCAATCCTGGCTTCATACAGCTGTATAAATCTGGGCAAGTTATGTCTCCTACACCTTAGTTTCCCATGAAAAAATGTGCCTCCTTCACAAGGTTGTTATGGGAATTAAACGAATTTGGATTTGCCAAGTGCTTAAACCATGCCTGGCACAGCGTGAGCACTGGCCACTGGCATATCCTCTCTAGAGTGGAATATCTGTGAATGTTATTCTCTGTGAATGTGAAGCAAACTTAAGTAATGAATCATTGCTTGCCTTTTGGCAGCATGGTGCAGGAATCTAAAATATTTTTGTTAAAAGAAGTTTCTTTATATTTCTTCAAAGTTTTGATATCATTAGATGAGAGAGACAGATGGAAGGGAAAACAAGTGTGTGGGCTGTATCTGAGGAGGAGAGAGAGGGTCACGCTGCTCTGGATACAGCAAGCATGCAGGAAGGAGCAAGGCCTTGGCAGATGACCTGTGGACTTAAGGGGGCTTTCGGGAAGGATCTGCTTGGTGCTAGGCTTTCTATTGTTCTTTTTACCAAGTGTGTGAGATGCCGGTACTCAATATGTATTTGTGGAATGAGTGAATAAAAAGATGATTAAGACATAAAATTGCAATCCAGTTGAGTTTTATAAGGCTAGGGTATTAGGATCAGTGGAATCTATTATATAAATATTGTGGTATCTTAATTATTATTCTGAAATAAGTTACAAGATTTTTCCTTAGATATTTTAGATATGGGTATCTGGTGACACTGTTGTAGAGATATAAAAATGACTGGCACATATTTCCAAGGATGTTTTCTTTTCCATTTTACTCTATTCTCTTTTTTTTAAAGACTATATTATAAATGTTTTGAGAATAGGAATCCTTTTAGAGTAGGATTTATGCCAGATAGCAGACAGCAAAGCAGACTGTGAAGCTTGCTTATTAAAATTTTACAAGGTCTTAGTGGTTTTGTTGAGCTCAGCCCAAAATTTTCAGGAGGTGTTAAAAAGCAGATTGCTTTTAATATATTTTAAAAGTAGGGCCCTCAATCTGAACAGCATACGCTTCTGTATATACACAGAAAGCCTCTGTACACATTTCTACATACACCACTATGTTTGTAGTTGCAATCAGAATTTTTAAGGAGAAAGTAGGATAGTGTTGAAAAGTTTAAAACGAAATAGCCAAATAGGCAATCCCTATAAGAACCACAAGTTTCTATTTACATAAAGTAGCAAAACAAACTCCTGAAACTTGTGAACTCTTAAAAAAATGTCTTGGTTGTGCCAAAGTTGACAAAAATAAAAGATGAGGTTCTGTTTAAGAAAGGAGGAATAGGTTTGACATTCTCTGAAAATACTTTCCCTGCCTATGATATATATTAATAGTTTTGGTTCAGTTTTAGACAGAAGCAACCTTTTAAACGGAAAAGTCAACTTATGGCTCAAGCCAAGAATCAGAACTAAAGAAAAAGACAGGACTGAACAGTAAACAGCAAAAAGTAAGAGATATTAAACTCTTTAGGAATCTCAGGTAGGAGAAAATTTCTATTATAGAATTTATACTATTGCATGTTTAAGTATTTTATTTTATCAAAGTTTGCTTATTTCCAGCAACCACGCACACAAAAACAAATTTGGATAATTGCTTTCAACACTTAAAATACAAACTTTTGCCTTCTGCTCACATATGGGGATCGGGGATATCCTTTATGAATAGTGCTTCTCAGAGCTTACCATGAACTGCATATTAAAATTAGTTGATACAGCCCAAGGTATGTACTCTACCATTATTTTAAGTATAGGTTTCAAGCATATACTACCTCTATAGGAAAGAAAATGAAGAACTGGTATTCATGAACCAGACAGAAGCCTATATTGTATTAGGTAAACAGATACTAAACTCAGAAAAGTAGGAACTAAGAAAAGAAAAAGGTATAAAAACTAAGAAAATTCACTTCAGAAACCCATGGGAAATGGAGGAGACCATACCTTGAATAACTCAAACTCCTTCTTTGGCATCAACAGCTAATGACAAATGATGAACATAAAATAAGTAATACATAATATATACACACATCAGGCCAGCCAAAACATAACACAGGAAATAATTTCCATTGCCATCACTTTAAGTTACCGAGATAGAGAAACTACACACAAATTCTTTATTTTGAATGTTTGCTTGGTTCATGGATTCTAGTAAGGCCAAGTCCCTCTGGATAAGCACAGGACCAAGCCCAGGCGTGAATGTCATGAGGAGCCATAAGTACTGAAATAAATTGTCATGGCAGCAGAAGTATGACCACAATTCCAGCTTTGGACAATCTGTATTTTTTTAAGCCTAGATCTGATATAAAAATTAATGATTTCACTGCATATTCTACGCAGCTTCTACTCTAATTCATGACATTATTATGAGGTCAGATGTGATCTTTTTCTCAAGACTTTGAAAATTAAAGAATTCTTTCTTGGGGAATGAGAAGCCACCCCACGTTTATAGGCTGTACCTGAGAGAGTCCATCCATTCTTTGTTTACAGACCTGACTCTAGAGAGCCTGTCACAGGTCTAAAATTCCCAAATTTAAAAGCAAGTTAATTCAGATGTTAGGGCGAATGAGCTGACCAGGGTCACTGAAATCCTGAAAATGTGGCATGGGCCCTAAGAATGGACCTTCATAGGCCTTCAATGATCAGGAAAAGAGAATCTGACCTATCTAATCTATATCATAAGTACATTTTAATCTTAAAATCAAGAGAGGAAAAATATTGTAATCCAGCTGAACAAGTACTCATGTACTGGTGTAAGGTGAGATGAGTGCAAGTTCAAGGCTGGTCAGTGGCAGATCATTTAAGAGACTGAAGGCAAGGGCTGAAGATGAACTGCTGGACACCAAGCCACGATCTCAGTGCCATCCTCTATCAAGAGGAAGCCACTAGTGGATAGGAGAGCTGTGGGTAAAAAGACAGAAATACCATTTCTTCAAATGTCAGAAATACTATAGATCAGGGGAAAAAGCTTTCAGAGAATCAGGCACCTACTGCTAAACATTTTGAACAATTTCTAGAAGTAAATCAGAAAACATATGTGTAATTTTCCCTGTGTCTCTCACCATTGCCACTCCCCAACCAATTACTCTAGAAAAAAATATATAACCAACTACATATCAAAATGATCAATACACAAAGGTGTTCAAATCCTCTTTAAGAGTGATAACTTTGTAAATGTGTACATACTACATTTTACTAAGAAATCATGCTCACCTGTATAGTATGAGTATAAGGTGGATCAGCACGCCCCAATCCAGATTCTGGAGGTCTCACAATATCCAAAATGTTATTTGGCACAAATCCAGAGTCTCCACTTGCATTTCGAACTTTCCACCATTGCTTCCGATCATCAAGTATCTGTCACGTGCAAGAAAATAAAGGTATAATTTCCATATAAAAGCCATTTTACGAAGGAAGTTCCCTAGACTTCAACAAAGAAAATTTTTCTACTTCTGATAATTAACTCAGCATCAACATAGTGTTGATTGAATGATTCTCAGGAAATACACTAAGACATTTATGAGTATACAGTAGGTAAGGTATCATTATGGTGAATCTACACAAGGTCCATTTTACCTCCAAAGAACGGTCTGCATTATTTGAAGTACTTAAGGACTAAAGTACTTAAAGGACTTAAGGACTAAAATGACTTTTGGAAAAACCCATTGTCTCCATTTTGGCGATAGAAATAAAAAGTATATAAACATCACTTTTTTTCCTTACAAAATTTATTGTGATAATTCACCTTACATATTCAAGAAGATGAACTCTCAATTAGAATCTAACAAAGAGAAGTTGGTGTTGTGGTGGACTATCCCTAACATCATTAGCTCAATGACTGCTGAGTATATCTGTGCAAGGATATAGGATAAAAAAAGAAAATGTCTCTTATTGAACTATTATGTGCCTCTACATCTGAATTGATAACTAGCCTTGGCTCCAAAATGAAGAAATATCAGAAGAAAGAGGGCAAGGAAGAGAGCAAAGGAAGTTAAAAAGCCCACCCCCTCCCCTTCCCACAAAAAAACAAATAAAGGAGTATTCTAAAGCTATCCCCTTAGAAGGAGTATCTGTATACCTCTTCTAAATAGATGTAGGTATTTCTCATATACTATGTCTTTAGTAATATAACACTTTTGAAGGAAAGTTTAGTTATATACCAAAAGAGTAATACAATAAAACTACATTATTAAGAGTATAAAAAAGAAAAAATTCTATTACCTCTAAAATATCATCCTTTAGAACTGAGAGCTCACTGTTGTTCCTTGCTACAAAGTCATACTTGGATTTGGCATATTTCTTGGGTTGTGATTTGAGTGGTTCATAATTTCTATAAAAAGAAAGAAAAAAGATTATTATTCTGTTTTAGCTCTTCCTAAAGGATAAAAACAGAAAACATTAAGACAAGCCAAATTCTACCAGAAAACTTTCTGAAAAGTTACAGCAGTTTCAATTTATTACATTTTACATTATGACAAATACAAGTTACTTTAAAGTTCTTGCTATTAAAACGAACAAACTGTGGCCATGGAAAAGAACAAATAATGCAAAATCACAAGGCTAGGTGGTACTTAGAAAAATCAAGAATCCAAGTCTATAAATTCTTTGTCAACTAAATACATATACTGGATATTTTGTTAATTATCATCTCTACCATAAAAGAACTAGATAAAGACAAATGTTAGTATTTTTCATAAAATTAAAGGAGACTGAAAATAATTTCCATAGTGGTAATTTTAGTTATATGTTGATTTCACTAATTCAGGCAATGTCTGCAATTCAGTAACCAAATATGTAAATTAAAAATTTATAACTAGGCATCGGTTTTTAGAAACACTTTGCACAGTTATCTAAACTGCAAAAAAAGACAGATATGCACTAAGTATGAGACTAGTAACACTTTCAAATAAATAAATAAATAATTTAATTCACTATAAACTTTTAAAAAGTGTATGGGCCCTATTTTTTAAAAATAAAACTTCCTCACAAAACCAAATACCTCCTCTAATCATTAAATGAGTACTAACGGATTTAATAACTTAACTAAAGATTGCTTTTATTTGTAACACAATACACTTGATGCATTAAATATTTGTATTTTCTTCATCTATTTCAATAATAAAATTACTTTAACCCTTTATTAATTTTACTCCCTAGTCTTCTCCTCCATTTACATTCCCACATTTATTTACACATCTCTACAAGGGAAATAGCAGGTAGAGACTAAAGATGTTAGGTCATCCTACCCCATCAAGTTGCCATTATTTTTGCTGTCTACCAAGTTCTCTGGAATGCTGAGTTATACCAGGGCCTGCAGGACAGTTGTAGACATAATGTATCCTGTCATCATAGGTTTTTGTTACCTCTTAGGTAGTAACTCCATTGGAGGAGGGAGATAGGGACAAAGAAGAAAGAAGACCAGTATAGAACACCTTATAGACAAGCATGTATGAACAGCTTATTGGCTATTTTTAGTACATTAAAAAGAAGATTGGTGGAAAAGGTGAAATTATGGTGAAGTAATTATTATATGTTATTAATAATAATAATTTTAAAACTGTGTTCCATAGATTTCCCATCCCTATCCCTACTGGAATAGCTCTGCTTTTATTTACTTTATATATTCACATTTAATCTACTAAGATTTCATTTGGGGGATAAAAGAGATTCAATTACCCCAAACATTAGGAAAACAGTAATCTCAGTGTTTTATCTTCCTCTCTTCCCCTATTTTCCTTTCTCCTATGATCTGCAAAATAATCATTATTAATAATGGAGAGTTAAGGGTCTATAACAAAGTTTTTTTTATCTTGCAGGTCTCAGAAGTGTTTACCTTAAGTGCTTTAGAATTTACAAATCTTTACGGCTCACAGCTTCTTGCCCTCTATAGGTTAAGCATGGATATGACACTGACCATAGTTATCAAACAGATAATCACAATTTGTAATTTTTCAGAGGTACCAAACTTTCTTGGCCAGGTGCGGTGGCTCATGCCCCTAATCCCAGCACTTTGGGAGGCTGAGGAGGGCGGATCACCTGAGGTCAGGAGTTTGAGACCAGCCTGTCCAATATGGTGAAACCCCATCTCTACTAAAAATACAAAATTAGCTGGGCATGGTGGCACATGCCTGTAACCCCAGCTACTGAGGAGGCTGAGGTGGGAGAATCGCTTGAAACCAGGAGGCGGAGGTTGCAGTAGGCCGAGATTGTGCCATTGCACTCCAGCCTGGACGACAAGAGCAAAACTCTGTCTCAAAAAAAAAAAGAGGTACCAAAGTTTCTTAAGAGCTATGGAATGTAACAAAAAGTATGGGCTCAGTTTCTGATTTGGAATAATAGATATGCCACTTGATAGAGAGCAGACATATAGACAGTAGTAATTTGAGAACTTCTCTAAAATATTAATTGCATCTGACAGCAGTAAGCTATAAAACTCAAAGGTGTGGGCTTTAAATTCAACGAATGGTCTACCTAATGGCATAGTAATTTCACAGAACAGTGAATATACTTCGTATGGCATTGTTAAGCTAAATATGTTCTGAGAAGCCCTCTGTACTTCCACACTTGAGTCCTGTGGACAAATCATAACCTAATTTAGTAGGTAGACACATTGAAAACCCAATTTAGGAGTATGCTTCTGTAACAATAGCTGAGTCTCAGCCAATCCCAGCAGCCATACTTCAAGCACTCATAGGCCGCTGACTGTTCAAATTGTGTGCAAATGCCATACTGTAACCAGTCAGCTGTTTCTATACCTCATGTCTGTTTTCTGTATGTCACTTTCCTTTTTTGTCTATACATTTGCTCTGACCATGAGGCATCCCTGGAGTCTCTCTGAATCTGCTGTGATTATGGGGGCTCCCCAATTCATGAGCCGTTTTTTCCCCCCATTTGCTCAATTACACTGTTAAATTTAATTTGTCTGAAGTTTTTCTTCTAACAGTATCTACTGCATTCCTGCTATGTAATAGAGTTTAAGGTCAATCATAATTATTTATAACAACAAATTCCAAACCTCTGTATATTTTATATCAGACCACAATTTTCAGAGAGTTTTTCAAAATGATGACAGATTTTCTTAGCAACACAGAACATCAATGATTCATGTATTTATCAACTATCCTAGCTCCTATTAAGTCCAGCTGAGGCAGAATCCATAAGAACAACTGAGATATAAAATCTACCCACCACTCAAGGTATTCAAAAAAATTCTTTCTATGGCGAACTTCTGACCACTCTAGTCTATTATTCCTTCATGGAATTTCCTTCACTATATTTTATTTAAATTTCTATTTATCAAAGGTTACTAAAAGAAACCTTATAAAATTCACGACAGCCTTCTCTGTGGTGAGGAAAAAAAATTGTTAAAAATAAATGTCCCTGACATCACCTATCCCATCCTACATTAAGTTTCATGAGACGAATATTATTGAGAATTTAGGAGTAAGAAAAGCATTTTTTATCCCAATGAACTGATACTCATTCCTTTTCCTAATGTTAGCAAATGATTATGTTTCTCTTTTTGTTCTGACAGCCAGAAATCTGAAAGACAAATCTGAAATTCAACAATAGTGTCAACTTTTACACTTCATAAAAATTCTCATCTTCCCTCTTAACTTCTTAATTTTATATTTTATTTCATTATTTAATTTTCAATAATAATACTACTTTAACTACATATAATTTAAGTGAGCTAACTGAATCTATTTTGGAAGTAGAAGGGGTACAAAGATATAACTAAATCAATAAACCAAAGTTACATTTCCCTGATACTCGATAAAGATCATACAAATCAAGGTAAGCTTTTAAAAGACTCTGTGGTAAGGTGCCCAAAATAAATGGCAGAGTTTATTCCATCAGTAATACTATCCCTTATAGATATGCAGGTGAAGGACAGGGAAGTAGTGACTCTGAAATACTGGATACACTCTCATGCACTTATTCATCCAATCCATCAATCAAATAAATCTACACTTATGGAGTGACCACAGTATGCTAGATGTGGTCTTAAAATGGAACCTGATAAAAGTTTTCTAATGTCAATATGTACTCTACATATGCACTCAAGTGGTTTTCTAGCTACTTAGCTGTGGAAAATCATCCAAATTACTGAAGTGATAAAACTGAAAGAAATCTATTAATCTGAAATGATTTCTATAATATTGACATCTAAGACAGAAAGAAAGAAAAAAGAAAATATTAAGACGAGTACTAAGTTAGTTAAGAATGATTTCAATGAAATAATGTTCAAGCTTCAAAACCGATTTCCAACTGTATCTACTAAAAATTAATTATATAATTAAAACATTCTCATATGTTGGCATTTAAAATATATATTATTCATTGCTGACTTTTCTTTGTACTCAATTTAATGTCACTGGTGCCCTTGGAGTTATACCTGTGTAATTTCTACAGCAATTACTTTAAGCATTACCTGTCACCTTCCCTGACAAAGAACAAAAATTTTGAATCTCACTTTCTTCAGATTATATTAAGAAAAGAGTGTACAGAAAAGAAATAAAGGGCATATAACTCTTGTGGTAAGAGAGGCTTTGAAGCAGGAAAGTACTAGGCTGAGTTCTCTACCCCCAGTTCATTGAATGACCCTCCTCCTATACCCGTGTTATCAACATTTTACCTCCTTTTCTCTTTTCTACATGGCTTGGCTCTATGTAGATCTCACTTACTAAAAACAAGATTGGAAATTAAAAAAAAGAGAACTTATTCCAGTTCCTTTATTTCTTCTCATCTCAATTCTCCATCTCTGCCTATATTAAATTTTTTAAGAGTGAAAATATAGAAGAATAAATGAAGTATAAAACTGGAAAGTCAAGATAAAAAGATGAAATAGCACGAATGACAAATAAGGCATTGACCCTGTTTAAATATTTAGTTTATACTCAGTTTAAATATATCTATCTAAAGGAAGGCTTATTTGTTTTCATTGGGTGAAGATAAAGATGGAAACTGTTTCCTTTAAAAGCTACAGAGCTGGAAGGATCCTCAGAGACCATCTGGTACAAACTAATGGAGGGTTTCAAGACAATTCTTTCTTCTTAATGTACACATTTTGTCAGAAGTATCTTTTAAAAAATGGAAAGTCATCCAAAGGCATTTGCACTAAATGAGAACTACAGACTGAAGGTCCAGACATCTTTTGTTGATCAAAACCAGTTCTCTAAAGGAACAACTGAAACTTTATCAACTAATTAACAGACAGAAAGTTTAAAGAAGCAGCAGACAATACAGACACTGTCACCTCTGTTAGCACTAGATCAGACAGTTACCCACAGCTCTCAAAAGGGTGCTCATTAAATGTTACCTATCTATATGGCGATTAGAAGTTGGCTTAAAAGCAACAGCAGCTTCCCCTTGGTCCAGGTGGGATCCTCTTGCGTAAATGTTGCTACCGAACGCATGGCCATCCGCTGGATGATACTCTGATACACTGGAATGCTGAAAGACAAAGTGGGGCAGATTAAAGAATCACTAAATACTATTTGAATCAGCACTCAGGTCAGTCAACAAGATCTCTCAACTATATTGTGATAAGTTTTCATTTTCAAGTGACGGATCATTATGTTAACACATTATGAAATGGGAGTGATACATTTTTGTCAAAGACTTACTTATAATAAGAAAAGTCACTAGTGCAAAGGGTAATCTTGCTCTTTCTGTTCAAGAAACCGTCACCACTCTAGCAAAGTAAATATTGTCACATGAAAATCAACTGAACTCTATGCATTAAAATTATACTGACTTCTCTTTTTTTTTCAATTTTAAAATGATACACAGAATATTATAATATTTTCAATTTTTAAAAAAATAGCAGCACTATTATCATCTTTGCTGTTAAGGGAAACACAGAAAGGCACAACTAAATGAATCTTGATAGCCAAGAGTCCAGGATAAGAGCATGCTGGAGTCATTTCTTTTTTGCAGTTAAGATAATTCAGACAGGAAACTACTGGGAGCGACCAAGAGTGACAGTTGAGATTCACAGGTCCCACTGAGGACCATGGTTTCCATGGTTTTAAAGCTATAGACCAGCAATCCCCAACCTTTTTGGTAGCAGGACTGGTTTCACGGAAGGCAATTTTTCCATGGACCCCAGGGCCGGAGATGACGGGGATGGTTTTGGGATGAAACTGTTCCTCCTCAGATCATCAGGCATTAGATTTTCATAAGTGTGTAACCTAGATCCCTTGTATGTGCAGTTCACAAGAGGGTTCTTGCTCCTAATGGAATCTAAAGGTGCAGCTCATCTGACAGGAGGTGGAGTTCAGGCAGTAATGCTCCCAGGCCTGCCGCTCACCTCCTGCAGTGAGGCCCAGTTTCTAACAGGCCATGCACCAGTACTGGTCCACGACCCAGGGACTGGCGACCCCTGCTACAGAGAATACATGCTCAGACTGGGAGAAAACAAACAAAAACTCCCCAAAGCCTTTACATTGTTTCTTTATATGAAAATGAGGTCTGGAAGAAGCATGATAGACACTGAAGCACTGGAATTCCTTGGCTATTTTCATTATGGATTTTGTGTATTTGTTGATAGATTCATTGGGGCAAAATAGTTGAAACTGGGAATGTTTCAGAAAAGTCTTGAACATATGGTTACCACAGTTAATTCTAATGGCAAAGTAAGCAGGAGGAAGGCTGAGTTTATCCACGGACACGGCAGGTGACGTTTATATATACAAAATCAGGATACCGTGCTTAATATAAATACAAATAAACAAGTTCAGCCTTTTAAATTAAAAAAATCTGAGCTTAATTAATTCAGCTTATCATTTCCCTGGGAAAGAGTAGAGGCACTACATTAGATTAGGTAATCTTTAATTAAAGGCTGTTCTAAAGAGGGGAGTGCTCTGTTAGAAGCACCCACACCTTTTGCCCAGCTCTGAACATTAACAGTGAAGTCAGCAGTATGAAATCACTGGGTCCTGAGAGTGACTGGGAATACTGAAAGGGAGAAGAGAAATGATGACTAATGACTAACTGTGATGACTACCAAAGCTTGCTTAGGGTTCAGAGGAAGTAAAGAAGCTGAGTACTGCCACCCATATTTGTCACTGTATGTCACCTATGTCTTTCAATCCTAAACAAAAATCATAAGATCCTGAATTACCCAAGTCTTGTGGTAAATGCATTTATTATAGTAGCAATAAAGTATAATAAAATCTCTCTTCTAGGGATGATTACATTTTTATGCATTTTAAGTTACCATTACTTGGCCTCTTTTCCAACAAAATCTCAAGGCATAAAATTCCCTGGAACTGCTAGCATGTGTTTTTCATTTTTTAAAACCTCTGAATAACTACTTCAGCCATAAAATGAAATATAGTTTATAACAGGAAAATGATAACTCATTACAAGTAAGGATTCTCAATAATTCCTCTTTTAAAATCACTTATTCAGTGAAAGTAGACAAACTTATATCCTGGGAGCCCATTACTCTCTTCTTAAATACACAAATTGAGAACGAAATCACAAAAGTGAATTTCTGAGGCATACATTATAAAGTGAGTATATTTTCTTATTTAAGATATGAAGGCTATAAGCTGGAAATTTTTAAGATGTAAAAACAGTCAGCTGTAACTATAGCAACAGCAAGTGTATCATAATTTCATGTTTGATTATATTTTCTTTCCTCTAGAAAAACTGCCCTTTAAATGGAAAGAAAGTTCACAGTGATGAGGCCTGAACTCCGAAATACAGGCAGGGATATACACTTGCCAACCGAGCAGTGAGGTCATCTTAATTATTCATTTAGAGGGAAGGACAGGCATGGAATCCACCTCTTCCCTTATAATACAGCCAGAGAAAAAAAACAATTACATTAGAAAAAAATAATTTCAAAGTAATATGTTGCTTTATTTTTAAAGTTTCAGGAATTAAACCAAACTTCTATAATACTATTGTTATTGTCCAAATAATAGTTCACAAAGGGAACAATTTTTAAAATTTAATTTAGATAAACATTTCGCCTTAAAAGTAGTTACAGGATATAATACACCATGGTTTGACAATTCATTCCTTCACACCACATTTGCCACATTATAAATACCTATGATAGCCTGAGAAAATTAATCTAAGGAATTAATAAAAATAATAGGACTTTGGGAAGATCTCGTCATCATTTACAGTTTCTTCTTCAAACTAGATCTCATTCACCTAATTCTTCAGGTTCTGCCCATCCTATTTGTGTTTGGTCCAGCTTTAATCAATGTTCAATGTTCTTTTCCAACAAGAAGAGTCACAGAAACATCATTTGTAGGGAATGTGACAAGACAGCATACTCAATTTCATTCTCTCAACTTGATTCCCAAATAGGTTATACTCTAAAGATGACTAAATACTTAAAAGATAAAATGAATGTTAAGATCTCCTCAAGGTGTATAGTTTTATAAATGATCATTTGAACCTAAGGACTAGAGTACAGAAGAACTTTGGTCCTCTAGCAAGGGTGATAGGACTCCAGAGGCTTAGAACTAGGCAAAAGCGAAGAAAGAAAACAAACAGAAGACAAGAGAGGCAAAGCAACGTGAAGAGAAGAAGGAGAAAATAATTAGGGACATTCAGGAAACAGCTGCTTGGGACAGGTTAGAGGATCTAGGTTCAGGGAACTGTCTAGAGGGCCTGATAAGGGGAGAGGAAAACAGAAAGAAATAAGCCAAAGGGCAGTAGTGCAATTCCCTGACAAGGAGAGAAAGTCATCCTAAAAAAGCCTACTTAGGATCGCCAGAGCCAGGAGAACAGTGGGAACAAGGTGAGGGGGAGGGCTGACAGGCTATAGGAGAGCAATTTGGGTTGGGGTTGGGCTTCACAGAGGAACACAGCAACTGTCACAAAAAATGACAGAGGCAAGAGAGAGAGGTAAGTCAGGAGAGGGTAACATTCAGACTTTGATTCTAGAACAATTTTCAGATCAATAAAATGAGAACTTGCAATCAGAATTATAAGAGAATACAGAGATAATTACACTGTCTACAAAGGGTAATGTTAAAAAAAAAACTTTACCTCGGTGGATAATCTTTTTATTTCCTGTTTGCGCTGATGTTCTGCTACATTTGCCACAGATTCTGCCAGTTGATAAAGATCTTGTTCCATTGTTGCTCCCATAAAGTTCAGCATTGGGGGCTCCCAGCCATTGCGGAACCGTGGAACATATGGTGGAATAAACTGTTCTTTTGGCCACTCTGCTCTGTAGGAGGGAATGAAGGCGTATAAACAATAAAACCTAGGAATGTATCCATACTCACAGTTATCTTCGGTAAGGCTAGACATACACACGCACACACACATAAACAACAAAAACAGCACATAGACCTAATCTGTCTTCCATCCACCCAAAAAGAAAAAGCAAATATGTTTATGCCAGTATTTCACACCAATAAAATGAAAGAAAGATTGAAATCTGTTGCATGATCTGTTTTCACAACATTGCCCCAATTCTCTGTTAAACTCAAGTTTTTAACATGGGTATAGGTTTTTAAAAATTTGTGTAAGAAGGGAGAGTGGAGCTAGGAGTATAAGTATTTAGAGAACAAACTTCTCTAACATTTAAAGTAGTTTCAGATTCCCAACTTTCCCTTCACTCCTCTGCCATCGTTGTTGAAACCTCCTTGTATTAGACGTATCTTTCAAAAGAGAAACAGTCCAGCAAGTTCTTAAGGTTTATGATTTTTAAATTTATGAAGTCCCCTAAAATGAAACAGATGGCCAGTTTTATAAATTAAATGTATCAGCTCTGTTTTAATCAGTAAAGTCAGCTAATCTGTAATCACAATCATATCGGTTCATCATTTAATGACACTGAGTGAAACTTATTTCTATAAGATCCTAATCACTCATGAACCACAAAAATAACTAGGACAAAAATGAGGGCTTCGTTTTTGCTAGAATATGTTGCTTTATCTTTCATATTTAATTCTTCATGTTATATTTCTACTATGATGAAATCAGCCATCTTATTCAGATTGTTATAGATTTTCATGGTTCTTTTTATCTTTATGAGTTTTTAAATCAGTCAGTACATTCATTTCCGAAGACTCTTAACAATCAGGATCTAAAATGACCCTTTCTGCATGTTAATAGCTAACAATATAGTTCGTTTTGATGTAGTTTTTTGAATGTTAATTTTCTTATTTTAAGATAGAACCCTAAACAAAGAAATTAAGGAGCCTGAGCTATATGTGTAATGTGACGCTTGATCAATTTAATAAGCTTCATGAAATTAAAGGATACCACCTAAGCTTATCATAAAATCATAACCTATATAAATCTAATAGATTTAAGTGATCTATTTACAATGGAATATTATTCAGCCATAAAAACGAAAGAAATCCTGTCATTTGCAGCAACATGGATGGAACTGGAGGTCATTCCGTTAAGTGAAATAAGTTGACTCATATACAGAAGCTAAAAAAAGTGGATTGCATGAAGGTAGAGAGTAGACTGGTGATTACTAGTGGCTAACAGGGATGGGGCAGGGTTGCAGGGAGATGAAAAGAAGTTGATTAATGGAGACAAACGTACATTGAATAGAAGAACTAAGACCCAGTGTTAGATCAGTAGGGTGACTATAGTTTGCACTAACCTATTGTACATTTCAAAATAGCTAGAAGAGAAAAATTCAAATGTTCCTAGCATAAATATTTAAGATATTTAAGGTGATGGATATCCTAATTACCCTGATTTCATCTTTATACATTATATGAATGTATCAAAATATCATATGTACCCTGAAAATATGTACAACTATTAATAATGTATCAATTAAAAATTACAAAAATAAAAAGATTTAACCAGTTTTATACAGTATAAGAACAGTATTATATGGCATACACTGTGCTATACTAATACATAAATAGTATAAATAAATGTAAATATTTTCAATTTAAAGGCAACAACTGCAATGCTTTCAAAGAATTCTCTGCTTAACTATATTCCAACACAAGCAACTGTCGAAGTCCAAAAAATAAGTGGAAAAGTTTGTATATGTTTCAATAGGAGAAAAACGGAGAAAAAACATTATGAATTGGCCCATGACTCTTAGGCTAACCCATTCAAAAACATTAGGAAGACAAATGTCTAAGTGGCCATGCTAAGTGATTTGTTCTAAGTGGTGAAATAAATAAAAAGATTTAGATAAATGAGCAAAGCAAAAATTATTTATTTACAATCATGAAATTAGAAATATTTTCTTACCTTGCCTTGCTCAGCAAGCATTAGTACTACAGTTGTTAATAATCTGTCTTCCATAATCACTTTATTGACAAATGTACAATTCTTAAAATTACCCACTCTTCCTTTTCAGTTCCATTGTGACTCTCTAGTCCTGACGAATACTGATTTATAAGGAGCCTCTACTAAAACATTAGCATCTCAAAAGGCCTCTGCCTCCAGTTACTTCTGTCCTTGTCCTTGCTAGCCTCAACTACCAGACTGACCTTTCTAAAACATAGATGTCATTATGTCACACCTCTATTCACAAAGTTATTGGTTCTCCACAGCCTACAGAACCATGCTCCAACTCTTTAGCATGGCACTGAAAGCCTGCATAATCCAGCCCTCAACTCTATATGCTCATTTTAATACCCTCCTCCTCCTGCCCTTCCACAATCATCTGCTACCCAAAGTCCATATTCTAGAGAAACACATCTTTATCCTCTCTTCTCTTAACTACCTCATGCTTTCACTTCTGCTTCTCTCTCTACCTGGACAGGCCCCTGCCCTGCTATGGAACTGTGGAAATCCTACTCATCCTGCTAAAAGGCAGTTTAGCAAACTAATGATGAATACTGACTCCAGAGCTACATGGCATGAGTTCACATCCCTGCTCTGTCACTTACAAGTTGTGTGACCTTGGGCAAATTACTTATCCTCTCTGGGCCTTACTTTCCTCATCTGCAAAATGGGGATAATAAGAGTAAATTATGTAAAGTGCATGGACTAGCAAGCACTGTGCACGCGCGTGTGTGTGTGTGTGTATGTGTGTGAACTCTATGTGTACCTGTTGATTTTAAATGCCAGCTCTTCTTTGAAAGCTAACTGCCCTCCTGTCTAAATCCTCTTCCTGACTGCTCCCCCTTGCCAACCAACAGCATTTTGTTTATGATTCACTCCTAAAGTATATCATGCCTTATATTACATACACTTCTATCTCTTCCACTAGATTTGTAGCTTTTAAGGGTTTAAGCTTTTTCATCCTATGACACTTAGCCCTCGTATGTACAAGGTTAAATAAATGTCTCATTAGATCCATATAATAAACAAAGAACGGTACTTAAGGCATTATAGGTGGCAAATGCTGAACTCATATATGCTTACCTGGCTTTCATCCAAGTTGCTCCCAAAGATATCCACAGCTGCCGTTCATCACCATTGACAGTATAATTTAAGAAATCAATTGTGTCCTTAGTCAATAGGGGACTAAGTGCTGAACTGGCTAGTTCAGGACCTCCTGTTGCCTGCACCACCTAAAAGAATAAACCATTTTTAGCAAGAAGATGACTATTCTTTGTGTATTTTCAAAATGTGTAGACAAAATGGCAGACATGCCAAAATAAGCACTGTTTTTTAATAGTCATATTAAATTTTGATGCTGTGCAATATGCTACCGAATGAAAAACAGCTTGTCAAATCAACTTGCCCAGCCCAGTAGTGCTTTAAAATCTAAAATGAAAGTTAACAATTTAACAACTTTCACAGCATCTGCCTATGGGCTGCATATGACTATAGTTTCTCTGGAAGATACTGAAGGCTATGTAGAGAACTCTAGATCAGGTGATTTTACTATCCCTGTTTTGTTGTTGTTGTTGTTTTAAATATGTGTTTCTCTACTGGCAAATCTATTATGCTAAACTTGAAAAATACAGTTCCCAAGATGAATACTATCAAGAAAAACAATACTATCAAGAGTTAACAGTCTATGGCTGTGCCTATACAGACACATAACAAATAAAAGGATCCAGGGAGGAAGGCGAAACAGGAATAAGAACTGGTACTCTGAATCTATGGTACTTTTCTCCAGAATTATTTTTGGAAAATTTCCCTGATTTAATATGGATAATTTAATGACAGCAGAAACAAACAAACAGGTGCAATTCTCTGATAAGCAAAATGAGGATAAGTAGATGTCCAAAAACGGCTCTAAATTTACTTCTTATGAGCTATTTTCTGGTTTAGAAAAATGGTAGTTATCTCCTAGAGCAGAAACCAGAGTCCCTTTATAAAATCTTCCCTTCTCAGAGACGTGGCACAAGAAGAAAGGAGATTTTTTGAATGGCTCCAATCATCCAGGTGTTCTCAGTATGCTATGCTGTTCTAGGCCTCTGTGTATTTGCACATGCTGTTCCCAGTTCCCCAGAAGGCCCTTCCCCATTATTCAGAACTCTACTCAGGTCCCAAGTCTTAGGAAAGCCTGTGTTAACCCCACAGTGTAACTCTGATGTACCACTCCCCACCCTGCATCCTCTAAACAATTTAGGTGTATTAGTAACACATTATACTATTACACTGTAATTTATGCATATGAGTAACACACTACACTGTTACACTGTAATTTATGCATATTAGTAACACATTACACTATTACACCGTAATTTATGGCTTTTCAGTTTCCCCTCCTTGAGGAGTTGGACTAAGACTTATCTGACTTTCAACTGCAGATGATACAGTGGTACTGGAATGAATGAAAAAAGATGGCAGATAAAGGAGGAAAGCTAACCCTTATTTGAGAACAAAACCTACCCTGCCTACCTAGCATAGTAATTTTTAACTTCCAACCTTGAACACGTTTCCAATAAATATGTGGCAATAAGAGGGAAAAGTAAAACTAAAGAAAATGAGTAGATGAATATAAAAATCTCTGATTTGACAGAGAGGAAATAAAATGAAAGAAACTGTAAATGAAAGGTTAAGAGCCATGGTTCCCTCTCAAGAACGTGCGCAGGCACATGTGCTGTGGCTATGCTTGTGTGTATATGTCCATGCTGAGGGAAGAGGAGAGCCACTTGCAGGTGTAAAGCCACTACATCATGCCTGGCCAGTAGCAGGCCCTGAATAGATGTTCCTCCCCATCTCCCTTGTCCAAGTAAAATGTCTGGGGCCCTGTAGGGAGAACATTAAATGAACCAGCAAAATATTATGATTGTAGGGACCATTAGTAAGGAGTAATTTTTGAGACAAGCAGAGATACTAAACATTGGCAAGTAAACCAATGTTTTCAGGTACATAACCTGATCACAAAGACCAATTTGTATATGTAAGGGAAACCAGTCTTGTTATGTTATAGCTCTACTCTGTGTAATGACTAGACATCTACATAAGATCTCTCAAAGTGTGTGAAATAAACAAGAAGAGGCAGCAGAAACTGCTTTATAAACAATACTTACAAATACTCAAACTAAGATAGCATCAAAAATGTTAAAAAATAAGGAATACAAATTTTGTTAAGGAACTAGTATCAGTTTCTTTGCATATGTATCCCCTTGGTCTCGGTCTAATTTTTTTAAAAGCAATTACATAGCAAGAATTATTCAGAAATAATTAGGCAAGTAGAAATCTGATGCTCCATATATAGCGACAGCATATGGAAGCATTCATAAATGATTGATGCACCCTTGGACTTTCATCTTCTAATGCCTTATTGCTTAGCTTCTGACATTCATGTTGATAATGTTACTTACTTTCCTATGTTTGTAAAGCAATACTCATTTCATATTCTACTTCAGGTCTTGTCTACTTATCCCTGGGGAAAGAAGGATGAGAGTTATCCTCCCTTACTGCCTCTTGTCAATCTTACTTGCTGGTTCTTCCCATTCTCCTAACATCAAATGCCCAGGGCTCAACCAGTCCTTGGCCTGATTTCTCCATTGAACTCCAAATATATATACTCAACTATCAATTCAAATTTCCCCATCTGGATGCAACTCAATTTTGATATGTCTAAAACTGAATTCTTCACCAACCTCCAAAAACCTGCTCTACCCAGTCTTCCCCATCTTGGTTAATCATCACTCCATCCTGTCAGTCTTAGGCCAAAAAGCTGGGAACAATCCTTGGCTCTTGCACAGTATATCCAATCTAGCAGCAAATTTATAACCAGATCAGACTTCTCACCGCCTTCAACGATACTATGTCCAAGCACCATAATCTCCCATCTGGATTATTTTAGTAATGACCCTAGCTTCTTCTTCCCCAAAATTTCTAAACATTATAGCCAGGGCAATCCTTTTCTGCTGAAAACTCAATTGTCAAAGGTCTCCCAATTCCTGATAAAGACAAACAAGATGTATTTTCCTGTTATCCCGCTGATATCATCTCTTTCTAATCTTTTCTTCCCTCATTCCATTGAAGTCACAGTATCTACGTATTCCAAGAACATCCTTTGCACATTACCACCTCAGAACATTTACACATTAACTATTCTCTGTCTGGAATTCTCTTCTTTCAGGGATCCACATGATCCATTCTTTACTTCCTTTACTCCAATGACATCTTCTCATTAAGGCTTCCTTTAACCAACCCTACTCAAAAAGTGCAACACTCCGTTTCCCACAAACATACACACATGCGTGCATCTCCCTGGAGAACTCCCAGTTCTCCTTTGCTCCTCTATTTTTCTGCATAGCATGTGATTTTTAGACTACTGTATTACTCAGACATTTATTTAGGTTATTGGTTACCTCTGTATGCTACAATATAAGTTCTAACAGTGTAAGAATTTTTGTCTGTTTTGTTCCTGATGAGTTACTTTAAAGCCAAGTACAGAGGAGGCTCTCAATTTGTATTTGTAGAATAAGTACATAAATGAGTAAACAAGTCAGAGACAGTTCAGGAGATGAAGGAACACCTCAATAAAAAGAACATGGGTTCCTGAATGACTTCATGGAGCAAACCATCCATGAAGAACTAGACTTCTCATGATTATTTTGTGAGAATAAGAAAAACATCTACATTATTCAAGGCACTGAATATTATATACTAGTATACATTGAAACACTGGTATACAATAAATCTTTATTTATTTTCATATCCCTAGCACTGTCAGAGATACCAGTTTCCTCAACTATAAAATAAGGTGCTCAAACTAGATGATTTATAAGGTTCTTTTAAATTCTCAAATTTTACATTCTTGACGTTTACACAAATGGCAAAGAAATAGTACCCACACAAGGTAATGAAGAAAAGCACTTTAGATAATCCAGACAGACACTGGGGGTTAAAAAAATATACTAAGAATGATTCTTTCTTAAACTAATAAAATCTCACCATATTTAATGGAGTAAACAAAAAATGAACCAAATCTGCAGCACTAGGATTCTGAATATGAGACTTCAGTTTGGCCTGCAACATGAAGAAAACAGAAAATAGATTAATATCAAGCAAAGTCAGACACTCAGAAAGGTCCAACATAGACTCAGAGGGGGTGGTCTTTACCACCAGTTTCATTTTACATACATTCTTTAGCATGGATAGAGTGAGAATAGAAGTCATTGTTTTTCAATCAAGTCTCATAGATATATATGTTTTAAAATTTGCTGTTTTAATTGAAGGCAAATCAAAACACACATACCCCCAAAAAAATCTATAAAAACAGTTTTATTTCTTAATTTGATCAGAAACATCCTGACTAGACTTTCATCTTTTTCATTTATTTCTTCTAATTCTATATACATAAATTTCACTTACCAGAAGGTTAAATCCATGTTTAAACTTCTGGAAACAGTCAAGAAATTCATCAGGAGGTGGAGGTTTTGCCCGCAGCGTTAAAACACCCTCTAATGAAATAAGCAAGAGGAGGAGATCAGAGCAAAATCCAAGAAAACTTATTAAATGGAAAAACAAAAACCACATTTATGTCTGTAAAATTTGAGGATCTCATCAGACATGCTACCTAACTACTGGGCTACATCTCATAGTCTGACTGTAAGAAACTGAGAAGATACAAAGTTCAAAATGGATTGCTCCGTCTTTAGGCACTACAAATTACTCATTTAATTCCATAAATATACATTGTAGCCTTTCTCTATGGCAGGCATTGGGCTTATCATTGTGAAGGGTATAAAAGTGAGTAAGTGACAAGCCCTGCCTTAAAAGCTAATAATACACATGAATCAGATAAATAACAAGACAAGTACCAATCATTATGAGAAGAGACTTACCTGGTTGGGAGATAAGGAAATGGATACTTAAAAGGTATTAGATGGAGAAAGTAGCCTCTAAGATGGGATTTGAAAAAGTTTGGTCCAGGGCGATGTGGTGGCAAAAACATCATGGTTGTATAAAACAGCATCAGCAAAAACAAGGAAAGGGGGAATTGCATGTATATGAAACAACAAACAAAAGCAGAGAAACATGAGATTGGAAGGGTAGATCAAGGTTAGATTGTGGATAACCTTGATTTCCATGGTGAACAGTTGTACTTAAATCAATAAAACATGGAACTAGCGTGCTTTACAGCAGAAGCATGAAGTGGCTGAACGCTTTTGAAGATTGTTCTCACAGCATGAAAAAGTAGAGGCTTAAAACTGCTTAGAAAGCAGGGTAAAAAAAAATGATAGTAGCTTGAACTGGATATGAAAATTAAAAGGGAAATAACTGGATATAGGAGATGTTGAGAAAATAAAATTGATGTTGGCTACAAGCTAGAGAATGAAATCATAGAAGAATCTGTGGTTTTCAATCTGGGTGATCAAGAGGATAGTATATCTTTCACAGAGAATTTCAAAAAGAATAAGTGGTTTATGATACCAGGAAGCAATAGTACTTAATTTCAGAATATGTGGAGAGGAGGCACATTCATGTATTCACATGTAGAAGATAAAGCCAAAGGTGATATGCTTATCATATAACTATGTGGTAGAGAAAGATTTGGAAATTATCTGTAATGTAAGGGATATTTATTTACTATTTTATGTCTTTCCATCTCTACCATTTTGTCAGCGGAAGTATAAACATTACTTCCATAAGTTTAATTTTATATAGCTGAGGCCATTTTAAATAGCTGAACTGCAGCATACTTCAAAATTGTCTATATGTGACTTCGTATGTGACCTGAATGTACTGTTTAAAGTTTTGTGATAAAAAATTCAAATCCGTTGAAACTTCTAAATATTTTAATAAGTCAACTCTTTTATTTAACAAATAATATGGTTCTAGTTTATAATAGAATAAATTCAAATATAAGAAGAATAGAGCTATGTCTTTCTTTAACAGACACTTAATTTTACAATAACTAATCAAAACTACAGACAGATGATCACTGCCTGAATCTCAGAGTCTCTGCGATTTAGGTAAAACATTCCAGGATCTTTCTTCACTATATAGCTGACTTATAACCAAAATGGACTCTTTCTGAGTTCATCTTACTCTTTGCCTAAATCTCAGGTGCTACCCCAAGACTAGAAGAAGAACCCTAGTCCACAATCAATGAAGTTTTGCTAAGCAGTTCATGAGGGTCAAAACTCTGCCTAGTACCAGAGTTCTTTTTTTTTTTTTTTTTTTTGGACACAGAGTTTCGCTCTTGTTGCCCAGGCTGGAGTGCAACGGCGCCATCTCGACTCGCTGCAACCTCCACCAGGTTCAAGCGATTCTCCTGTCTCAGCCTCCCGAGTAGCTGCGATTACAGGCACATGCCACCATGACCAGCTAATTTTTGTATTTTTAGTAGAGATGGGGTTTCATCACATTGGACAGGCTGGTCTCAAACTCCTGACCTCAGGTGATCTGCCCACCTCAGCCTCCCAAAGTGCTGGGATTACAGGGGTGAGCCACTCCAGCCAGTACTGGAGTTCTAACCAGTCATAAGAAGATTAAGAAAATCCAACTTACCTCCTGGTCCTTTCTTTTTACCTTTCTTATTTTTCTTCCTTTTAGAAAGTTCAGAAAATGCTTCTGCTGCTTTTTGGAGTTTCGTGATAAAAAATTCAATGTCATCCAAAATGTGGTTTAAGATTTGCTGAAATTAGAAATTATAGAATAAAATATAAAACAAAATGTTTACCTTAGCTGTACACTGTTAGTAAATAATAGAAAGGTTTTTTTTAGAAAAAGTAGCAGCCCACATGCCAATTTCAAGTTTATTACTAATTACAAGAATCAAACTAAATATACCTGTAGCCAACATCTGATATTTACATATTTCTTTAGCTTACTTTTGCTCTATTTTCAATGTCATCAAGGAAGCATTCACAATAACTACTCCGATTATTATTTTCAATTGCTCTATTTTTCCCAGTGTTCTCCCACACAGTTAGGAGGAAAATTTTAAACTACGTTTTGTTAGAAGAGCACTGCCATTTTTGCTTTACTGATAAATGTTCCAATAAAGCACTGACAATATTATTTCATGGAATTAAAGGTACACGGATTGTTGTGATAACCTAATAGCTAATCTATGATACTAAGCATTAATAAGAATTTCCACGTGACAAAATAGAATTAATAATGCACCATGCTATCAGAGACCACTGGAATGAATCTGATTATCTTACATACTATAGTCTTAGTTGCCTTTCTCCAATATGTGTGAAACTTGACATTCTTCTAATTTAAGACTAGATATTGGGGTTAAATAAACTTTTCAGTATCACACATAATAGTGTGATATAAAAATGGAATTCCAAATTTCAAATTCCTTTTAGTATTTGTTTCTCAATAAGCTAGTAACATGCGTACAGTATAAAAAGTAACTATATTAACAGCATATTCTGTATCTCATTTATAGAATGAGAATGCTATAATAAAGCATTTACAGCATTCTCATTCTGTAAATCACTAGAAAGAAATGAAAACAAATTGTAGCATTATCTTTTACAAAAGCATTACGATTTACAAATCTATCCTTTAAAAATGCCACTTAACTTTTTTATTTATTCTAAAATACATTGTTAATAAATGCCAATAAGACATATTAAAAAGATATTTCAATTATGAATTACAAACTATAATAAAATAAAAACTGCACCATTCCTGACAGCTAATAATTCAGCCTAAGTTCCAATGTAAACTAGTTAATATGCTGATTCTTCTATCACAGCCCAAGTCTACTAACTAAATACTGGCATAAAGGCAAAAAATGGTTAAGGAAAAAACTAATTCAAAGGGCATAACCATCACTGGAAACAGAAAACATAGTTTCCATAAAACATCTTTATTTAAATAAGCTTCATTTACTTATGAAGTTTTTTTTCCTCTAAAGAAAAAAAAAGCCAATGATCTAAAGGCGACTCCTGTACTTACCACATCTCTGTCAATGCGGGCTGCCATCATCTCAGGCGTTTCTTCCTGCTCATGATACTGCCTTGGTTTCTCAACTATAGAAAGGAAAATCATGTCTTTCAACCTTTTACTCACACAATACCAATATAGGCAATTAAAACATAAAAATTAGTTTAAAAGGAGGACCATTCGCAAAAGGGAACACCTCCACTGGATACACAAGTCAAAACTGTGCTCATCAGCCATGAAATGCATCCTTGTCTACACTAACAGGAGCAGCTGGGCAGAGCTTACATATTGGTCCACTCACCTTTATGATGTTTATTTAACTTGTAATATCCCCTCTATTCTCTCTCTTCCCTGAGTCAGCTACCTGTAGAACCAACCTTAACTTAGCATCGTTTAATTCCTACACAAGCCAGAAACATAAACCAGCAGTTAAGCTTTCACTTCTCAAAAGCTGGTCAACTTAGTTCTAATGCAACAGAGCTATAATTTTTATACATTCCAATACTGTGACTACAATAAAGCTTTGGGAGTTGTGACAGCAGAGTGCTTCTTAAAATTTAAGTGTAATTAAGCTTAAAACCCACAATATTGGGCTCATTAATTTGAAGCTACGAGCTTTAAAAGCAGACAGAAATTTTCACATTAAAAAATAAATGTCCAGGCCGGGCGCGGTGGCTCAAGCCTGTAATCCCAGCACTTTGGGAGGCCGAGACGGGCGGATCACGAGGTCAGGAGATCGAGACCATCCTGGCTAACACAGTGAAACCCGTCTCTACTACAAAAAATACAAAAAACTAGCCGGGCGAGGTGCGGGGCGCCTGTAGTCCCAGCTACTTGGGAGGCCTGAGGCAGGAGAAGGCGGAACCCGGCGAGCGGAGCTTGCAGTGAGCTGAGATCCGGCCACTGCACTCCCAGCCTGGGCGACAGAGCGAGACTCCGTCTCAAAAACAAAAATAAATAAATAAAATGTCCATTCCGATATTAAGGTTGCTCAGTTGGCTAGAGCATGATGTTACTCATGAAGTTATTATCATGAACTCCTTCCTGGTATGAGTCAGTTAATACTACCCCTAAACACAGAGAGTTGTTACAGATATTTCATGGAAGAATAAATTTTAAAATATATGGATGGAACAACAGAAATGTAACACCACAAATGGAAGTACAACTCATGATACATCATCATGACTCATCATGCTCAATACAGAGAACTGCAAAAAAATATTGGAAACTTTGTATTGCTATTCTTCCTATGCACTAACTTTACCTATAACTGGAACACTTGCCAACAAAAAAAAAAGAAAGAAGAAATCACCATGTCTTATGAAACTTAATTAGCGGCTGTTAACTACTTTAAGATAATTAAAATTTCTATCTATGAAATCTTGCCAGTTAGCTACTATTTTACACATAGTTAGCTGCTACCTTGGCTGTAGTGGACTACCACAGAAAGCACTAAGTTGAGGTTGAAATGGCTATTAGGAACTCTACAGAGGTCCCCAAAAAATATCATTTGGAGGTCACAGTGACAGGGAGATATGGTATTTCTTGGGCTCTGTCAGGTCTGAAACACAACTAGGAACCCTAGTGCCACTGGCGCTATTCCACAGAGATCACCTTTGGAAGTCAGGGGTAGATATACCTCAGGGATTCAAAGGAGAAGCAGTTCAGCCTGAGTCAGCCAGAGCCTTCAGAGGAACCAGAAAAATACTCCTCTTGAGGGGCTTTCCAACTAAAAACTGGACTGGATCCAGGCCAAGCCTGAATAATAAGTCTTCTGTTTAGTCTAGTGGTAAATTTGAAGTTCTGAAAGCCTTATCTCACTTAGTTTAAGCAGATGACATTGCAGAAAATATTTCAGATAAAATTTAATGAAAGCTCAGAAACCCCTAGGGATAAATTCTCTCTTTGTTATAAATTATATTAGGTTCGGCAGGGCACAGTGGCACACGCCTGTAATTCCAGCACTTTTGGAGGCTGAGGTGGGAGGATCACGAGGTCAGGAGATCAAGACAATCTTGGCTAACACGGTGAAACCCCGTCTCTACTAAAAATAGAAAAATTAGCCAGGTATGGTGGCATGCGCCTGCAATCCCAGCTACTTAGGAGGCTGAGGCAGGAGAATCGCTTGAACCCAGGAGGCAGAGGTTGCAGTGAGCTGAGATCGCACCACTGCACTCCAACCTGGGTGACAGAGCGAGACGCTATCTCAAAAAAAAATATATATATATATATATGGTTCAACATATTATATATATAGTTCAACATATATAATATTATACATTATATATACATCATAAAAGATGTATTACATATACATAAGATGTATTATATATACATTATATAATATATATAAGGTTCAACATATATTTTTACAGGTTTATTCAGAATGTCTGTAAGCTTGTCTTATCCTTCCTCTACTTCAGAACCTCTTCATCAAAACAGTAACAACAAAAACACTATAGAATACAATAAATTACTGTATTTTAAACATTTTAAGTACAAAGATCAATACAAATTTACATAATTTATGAAAACAGAAACTTATAAAATTAAACTACATAGCTCTATTTTTTTTTAATGAATGCATCAAAGAGTTCTTTTTTTCATATATTCGGTAGCTCGGCTTCCATTTAAACCTCTGAAAAAACCTTTAAGAATACAAGAAACCTAAACAAAATAGAAAACAATTCAGAAAGAAAATGAACTCAATTTGGCAAAATGAGAACCACAAATTACGCTTACTATTCTGCAGTCAGTACTATCATAAACATTATTTACTTTCAGATTCACAGCAACCCATGAATTATTATCCACATTTTAGAGATGAAGGCCTGAAGTACAGAGAGATAACTTCCCAAGACCACACAGTAGACAGATCAGGTCTTGCCTTCATAGCCCCAACTTTTTACCTGCACATCCAAAGAAGAGTCCGAGTGCCTCATTTTTGGAAATGAGTTATATCGTTTAACTACAGTGCCAGATACCCTGGTGTGAATCATACTTTACTGGTAAAGAATAAGAAAGCTGGCCAGCGCGGCGGTGGCTCACGCCTGTAATCCAGCCACTTTGGGAGCTGAGGCGAGTGGATCACGAGGTCAGGAATTGAGACCATCCTGGCTAACACGGTGAACACCCGTCCTACTAAAAATACAAAAAAATTAGCCGGCCGTGGTGGCGGGCCGCCTGTAGTCCCAGCTACTCGGGAGGCTGAGCAGGAGAATAGCGTGAACCCAGGAGCGGAGCTTGCAGTGGAGCCAGTATCAGGCCACTAGCCTGGAGACAGGGGAGACCTCTGTCTCAAAAAAAAAAAAAAAAAAAAAAATTAGAAAGTTAAGAAGTCCACTGGAGTAGAGGCAAAAGAATGAGGCTCTAGCGTTCATCAGATTCGAGCCTGCTGAATCACAATTTATTCGTCCTTAAAATGAAGAGACTAGACCAAACACATTTTTAAGGCATTTTTTAGTTATAAACATTTCAGATTCTAGTAAAAATATTCTAAACATATAAAAAGTAACACTAATAACACAGGTGAAACACAATGAGATCTCAGTTATTATTGATGAAGCAGCAGAGAGCAGTCTCTCATTTTTCCACAGCAGACTTACAGAACTGTTGTTATCTGTCTGAATGCTCAGACCCCTACACCATATTTGCCATTCAAACATTTAGCTACAGGATCTAGCAATAAAAATCATCCAAAATTACACACTAAGAAAAGATAGCCCACCAAAAGTCAGGTGACTTTTAGCACTAGAAGGCCTATCCACTGCGTTGCTTTGGTTGTTTAGTAATATAATGATGTCCTAACTTGTCTATTTTAATGAATATATTACTAATAAGATAGATACACATTAATTTTTAAAAAATGACTTTTATACGAGCAATATGAAGCTAAAACAGGGAGGTTTTTTTAAGCAAGTAGGAAATTATAATTCAGTGTTTTTAGGAAGTTGTTTGGCAATATGTGTCAAGGGTTTTTTAAAGGTTAATATTCTTAGCCCATAATTTCACTTCTAGAATCTATCCTATAGAAATAACCTAGGATAGAAATATTTCTATCCTATAGAAATATAGAAAGAATAAATAAAGATTTATAAACGAAGATGTCCATCATTATTGATAAAAAATAAACTATGAAATAATATTTCAAAATTGAGAATGGTTGAAAATGATATAATAATATAAACAATTATATATTCATCAAAAATCAACTTTTAAAAATGTTATATGGCAAAATATGCATCATATAATTCTAAAAATCAGTATTCAAAACTGCGTGTACAACATGAACTTTATTGTTTAAGAAACAAGAAAAGACTAGAAAGTAAAATCAACTTGTCAACAGGATGATGAAAATTACCGATGAATTTATTTCCCTAGTTATACAGTTACAAGTTTTATACATTCCAAATTTTTCAAATTTTACATAATGATTATTTGTAAAATAAAAATATATGAGGTTATATTTTAAAAAAAACACACAGTAACGCTAAGTTCTATGTTATAATTGTTTTCAAACAGAATGCCAAGGTGAAATGATGCCACGCTCATAGGGCCCACTTGACAAGTACAGTCGTATGATGGATACCTTTTACCCTTCTCCACTGCCAGCAGCCAACCACTGTCCTGACAACCTTTCCATCAATATGACAAACTTGTCCACAAAGGGACTGTAGTTAAATAATTAAAACTGGAAATAATTTTAAGTGCTGTCTTTAAAAAAAACCTGTACATATTTTGTTGCCATCTTTTTAACTGTCAATCAAGTGAAACTTCCTCTCTTAGCAATAAAAAAAAAAAAAAAGACTCTAACCCTAACACCATATTTATTAAATGGTGGGTCTGAACTCTTACAGATAATAATCTTAACAAAATTCAAGGCTTAACTTTCTTTCACCTAAGATTTGATTTTTTTTTTTGAAATGGAGTTTTGTTCTTGTTGTCCAGGCTGGAGTGAAATGGCGTGATCTCAGCTCACTGCAACCTCCGCCTCCCGGGTTCAAGCGATTCTCCTGTCTCAGCCATCCCAGTAGCTGGGGTTACAGGTGCCTGCCACCACGCTCACCAAATTTTTGTAGTTTTAGTACAGACAGGGTTTCATCATATTGGTCAGGCTGGTCTCGAACTCCTGACCTCAGGTGATCCGCCCGCCTCAGCCTCCCAAAGTGCTGGGATTACAGGCATGAGACACTGTGCCCAGCCAGATTTGATTTTTTTAAAAGTAACCTCAAGCTTCAGTTCTGAAATCAGCATCAGAATTTGAAAGCAAGACCTATGCCCCAACCCAAAGTAAGTGTTCAATAAGTATTAATTCTAGGAAGACTCACAGTCCCCTTGGTCGGCTGCCCACGCAGACCAGGCTGCCACTCGACTTCTAACATCCACCTGGGTGACGGTCCCAGGGGGCGCAGGGGCAGGAGCTCTGGGTGGAGGCGGTATACCAGGGTCTGCGTTGGAAATCATCCTTAAAAAGATGAAAACAAATGGAATTTTTACCATCTCTATTTCTATAACATATCAATTAACTCAACTTGTGGTACTAGTTATTAAAATTCAGAAACAACTATGTCAAGGGGCAATAAGGATTTCCTAAGCATTCCATATTATGCATATTTATGAATGCATATGAAATAAAAAAAATTAATAGTCAGCTGAAAACAGGTTGATTTTCTTTCTGAGTCTCATGTGATTTGGAAGGGCCATGGAACAATTACAATCCTACTGTCTAGCTTGTATTTCCCTAGGATACCTTCTCTTCAAATGCCACTCATCTTTCATGACCCTGTGACTTCCAACCCAAGTGAAGCCATATCAGAGAAAGATCAAAAATATGGAGAGCAAAGGAGCAAACGCACTGACAAACTTGGGAGAACAAATGTGTTGAGACTACAGGTTATGATCTATACAATATAATAATATACTTCCATGGAAAATAATTCTTCTAACTCTTTGGGGGAAAAAAGCCTTAGAAACAAATCAATTCCACCCCTTGATTTCTTTTAATGTTTTTACCTCAGGGCATCAGGCCGCCTCTTCTGTTTCCCTCCTTTACTGTCACTGATTGCACTTTCAATATCTTCACTAATTAGGTTTGCCTGCAAGGAGATACAAGTTACCTGTAAGTTGATAGATTTTTCTGAGTCTTGATACGTAGTTTAAAACAGGAAAAGGAATTGTTCCTTGTCTGAATCAGTAAGCATCTTGATGTAAAAATCTTTTTATAAAAATGTTGTGAAACATGACTCTTGTGGTTTTTATAATGGTGAACTATATAATGATAAGATTTTAAAAACTGAAGAAATGTTTAAAGATTATCTTAAAGGGAAACTATCCTTGAATAAAGGCAATGAAGGAGGCAAAGAATGGATATGCATATGCTAAAAATGAAACTGAGTAAAAATCTCTAATTGGGAAGAAATTAAGGGGTTAGAGATTCCCACACATAGAACAGACAGAGTTCCTTCCCTTTCTCATCCTCAAGATCCACTGGATACCTATTAACCCAGCAAAACATTTCTTTGGGTTTAAGGCAAATCCACTACACCCATGAGATAAACTCCAATACTAGGTTGTACCCTTTTGGGTAACCACTTTATTTTGTCACTTCAGGTAAAAGCTAACTTTCTACAAACAATTAACTTTTCCAATACTTTTCCAATAAGAACATTCAGTTAGATATTTCTTGGGGATCAATGTGAGATTCACAGATAAGAAGTTTTTGTTTGGTTGCAAAGTTTGTTTAGAGCCAGTCATTATCACTCTATATTAGAATGTTGATGAGATGCACCATCTATGTTTGTGCCTCCTTGTTGTATGTAATGTTTTCTCAAATATGTACGTTGTATTTCTTTTACAGTAAGCATCGATAATCATAAAATTTTGGAAATGATGGGATATTTAAAAGAGCATCTCATCAGTTCCTGCTAATTAATAAAACTGAGGAGTACTTGTATGAAAGGGCCTGGCCAAGGTCACATTGCTCGTTAAATGAGAGTGCCAATGCATCCCAGTCCAGTGTGACTTCCTAAGAGCATTAAGTTTCAATAAGACATTACAAACATCCTGTCAAAGGCTTTCTGTTACATAGGATACTAAAACTGAAGATGAAAAGACAGTTAATTAAAAATAATTATTTTTTTTTAAAAAAACCCCAAACAAAAACTGAAGATGCCTAGGAATCATCAACTTCTTATACTGGGGCTATTATATTTCTAATAAAAATTTTGCTGCAAAGGTGGGCAGGAGCATTGCATGAAGTCCTATAATAAAGAAACTTTAAAAATCAAAAACAATATTGCACAATGAGCCATATAAAAGAAACTGCATTTTTCATTGCATTTATACTTTTAACCAGCCAAGGGAAAAAGGTCTCATATGCAGAGTATGAAACCAATGAGTAAATGCATATGGTGCTCTGTGGTATGTGAGCTTTTGGAGTTAGGACAGAACTATATTCAGTAAATACATTTTGAATCCATTATCATTACCATTCCATATCAAATAAAGCAAACCCTTTGTTCCCAAACTTAAAATTCAGAAGCTTTACACTATGGCATAGTAACTTTTAGCTCCCGGGGGGCTTTTTAGAGCACAGATACAAACATCAAATCTGAAATGTTTTTTAATTTAGGCCTCTGGTTTATATATGTTTGAATTAAATTTCACTATATTTTTAAAGCAAAATGTTCCCTTTAATATTTATTGAATATATCTAACCTTACAAAAATTATAATACACTATGACTTTCAAAAGGCACTATACAAAAATCTGATGAATATCACTTACACAAATTACTTAAATGCCAGTTCTTTTAGAAGAAGGTTTTTAGAAAGTCATCTATGATGTAAATTGAAATTAGAAGAAAATTATGAAATACAGTTTACAGTCAATTTTACTTTATCTATCATCTTTAAATGTCAAAAAATACAGAAAAGATCAAGTGACTGTGCTAATCTCCTAAAAGTTCTTTATAAAATAAAATTACATGGATATTTTATAATATATCATCAAAATGTTAAATCACTGCTTTAGCAAAGTATCAATTAACACAAAATGATTTCTCTTTTAAAGAAAACAACTCAGGAAATAAACACATTCAAGGTTGAAGATAACTTCTAAGGTCCAATAAAGCATCACAAATTATAATCATTTGAAATTACACTGTACTTTGAAATGGAAACTTTCAGGACACATCCTGTTATTACTGGCTCATCTATTTTCACGTATCATTTGGGAATTACAAATCCTGAGCAACGATTCGAGTCACATAATTAAATGGTGAACTTTAAATCAATATCGTGGGAAATGTCTAAGTACTTCATTGCAGTAATCCACGCTATGTCATTAGAGCAGAATAAATTAGAATTACATGATTATTTACTGTCCACAAAGCATGATTTCTGAACAATCAATTTTTAATTATAAGTTTAAGGCATTTGATGTGAATTTAATATATTATCTATCCTTAAAAAAAAAAAAAACAGAATGCCTCTTATTTTTAAGAGACACAGTCTCACTCTGTTGCCCAGGCTGGAGTGCAGTGGGGCAATTATAGCTCCCTGTAATCTCCAACTCCTGGCTCAACAGATTTTCCTCTCTCAGCCACCTAAGTAGCTGAGACTACAAGTATGTACAACCACATCTGGCTAATTTTTTAAACCTTTTCAGTAGAGACGGGTCTTGCCATGTTGTCCAGGCTGGGCTTGAACTCCTGGCCTCAAGCCATCTTACAGCCTCGGCCTCCCAAAGCACTGGGATTACAAGTATGAGCTACTCTGCCTGCCCCTGATTTTATTAACATCACCGTAATTTCTTTATTTACTTGCCATGGAAATCCTAAGGAAGATACTAAGGTATTTGTTTTCCTTACAAGATCCTCAGAAACTAAAAATCTAGTACCTAATATGAGATATATTATCAAAATAGGTAATTCAAAAGCTGCCAGAACGTCTGCTTAAAGAGGAAACAAAAATTTCACCATTCTCTTACCTTAACCTCATCACACTGGAAAAGATGAAGATCTGGCTTGTTCTGGGTTGGCTCTTTGCACACCAGGGCAAGCACTGAATCATAGCTGCATGAATGCATCACAGCTTGGCAGTGCTGGATTGTGTTTAAAGGAAAATTCTCCAGTTCATTCTATAAATAAAGTAAATATTTTATTTTTCAAACTTCCACCCATTTTCAAACAATCTGAAATGACTGTAAACATTAATATTAGTGGCATTTTCTTGAAAATAAAATAGTATAAATTTTACACACTTGCCTTTGATTCTAAATCAATTAGGCTCACAGCTCTGTCATCCACTTGAAGAATCATATCTTGAGTCCACACTTTGCCCTTGGCATCAAGCAATTTCAACTTCCTTATTCCATCATCAACAGTGATCATAGCATCTTTCCGATCCAGGATAAACGTAGTCAAGTGCTTACGATTGGCAAAAAGGAAAAAGATTTATAACAGATACAAATACATACAACCTCTTACATTTCCAATACATTTTCCAAAAGAAAATCAAATTAACCTGAGGTCAGCTAGCAGAGAACGACAAACATAAAGTGCTCTTAAAACTTCATGACTATTTTAACGAGAGAATAGAGCCAAGCAGGGATTTTTGGGTTTTTTTTGAATAGAAGAAATGGTGTTTTGACTCATAAGATACCTAAATCTGTTTCATACTGAGACATGTTGAACTACATAAACATGATATTAAAACAACTTCTTAACAGCTTAAATAATATTCTCTTTAAGTATACTTTTCCCTATTTTATACTCTATTATGGTTATTTAAATGCTGAACCTAGCAGCATTTAAACAGCAGGCTATCTGTATGGGAGCCTTAAAACTATGGACACTGATTGTAGCAACAGCACAATTCTAGCCTACAGGAGCTGTCAAACGATTCAATCCACTAAAACCACTTACTGAAACAAAACTGTTTAAATTTGATTAAGCATGCTTGAGATAGGTAGAAAACTGGAAATAAGAGCAATTTAAAAATTACTTCTCTGCTTAAATATTTTCTATTATAAGCAGAGGTCATCTAGATAAATTCCAACCAAGAGCAAATATCTTAAAAGAGAGCCAAAACTTAAAAATAACCCTTATTTAACTAGAACTAGTAATAACTTCAGTTAAACTAGAAACTAAACTGCTCACTGAAACTGTCAAAGGCTTAATTTCGAGAAGATTCTACAGTACAAAGTAGAAGCCATTATCCTTTTTCAAATGAAATAAGACTGGCAATGATAAATGAGTAGTAGTTATGATTTTAAATCATTCTTTATGAAAATAGACCACAGACTAACAAGATATTTTACATGTAACATCTGTTTTAAAAAACCTAAACAAAAAGGTCAGTGCAACTTAAAATACATTGTAAGAATGAAATAAAACCGAATTCTGATTTAACTTCCAACGTTTATGTTCCTCAAGTGTCACTCTAAATACTAGCAAATGCCAAAGCATCTTACTTCAACACGGTATTGAGATATATCTGACACACTGCTGACACTGTCCCGTGCATAATTCTTCCTTTGTTCTGAAAGAGAAATTGAAAAAGCCATGATTTGTCGCCTAATAAGCTGAAGTTCATATATTGGTATCATGTGGCTATCTCTAAAACTAGTCTATCTCACGTATAAATACAGTAGCTGACAAGTTGCCATTGTGTGGTGTATCTGAAAACACTCATTATTCGCAGTAAATCTAAAAACCACAAGAACGTCTAAATAATAGGCAAGAACAATTTGATCCACTATATGTTTTTAGAATTCCAAAGGTTAACAAGATTATAAATACTATAAGAAAAAAAGTTATTTCCTCTAAAGGTTTTTTTAATCAGTCAGGGACCTACTGTTTTGACAAATCAATTACAACTGGCTTACAAATTTCATCTGTTACTGCACTGATAGCAAAATATAATTGCAAATATTGTCATAGATACTGTATTATATGAGTTAGACTACATTATTAAAATCATAGACACTACAAGGAACAACTTCTTTTGCAGTATCCAAACTGGGATAGTGTTAGAGGAGATTTAAAACATGATTCAATCACATGGCTTGCCATTAAATATTAACAGTTTTCACACATCTACAGAACACACAAATGTGATACTTAGAATCATAAATATAAGTTGATAGGAAAAATGAGAAAGTCAGGTAGAAAGTTATTGCACCAAACTACTTAAAAAGCAAAAAGAAACCTTTAATTTTCTTTTCTGAAATGCTGCAAAACCAAAAACTAACATTAAAATATAAAAAGTATGTTGGCAATATTTGGCATTTGTTACTGTCTTTTTAAAATTTGTCTTATTTTTTAAAATATGGAACACTTCATGAATTTGCATGCCATCCCTGCACAGAGGCCATGCTAATCTCTGTATCATTCCAATTTTAGTATATGTGCTGCCAAAGTGAGCACTATTTGTTGCTTTCTAATCAAGCAACTTGCTTATTTGTAAATTCAGAGTTGCCCTGTTTCTTCTAAACAGAATGCTATGATGAAAAACAACTTTGAGAGGGAACCGTCAGATTTGTTCTCCCAGCTTCAGCTGTGTCACTAAGTAGGAAACTAAATTTGGGCAAGACACTTAAAACCCTGGGCCTCAGCACCCTTACTGTAAAATAAAAGGGTTAAAGAAGGTCAAACCTACAGGCCTTTAAGGATTTAACATTCTGACATATAGATACGCCTTAGCTTCCCCAACAACCTGTTTTCTTTGTAAATGTAAACCTATTTATTTTAGTTAATATAGTTATTCTATAACAGATAAGTTGTTTGGAAAGTTCTGCTGAACATAAAAGCTGAGCAAGTACAAAAATATAAAGTGCATAATGTACATATGCAGACTCAGAACGTTAACACAGAATTTTAAGAAAACTTAATAAATTTTCGTTTTACAACACATATGAAAGTAACTTTTCATTTATATTTACTTGTACAATTTAGACTAAAATCTCCATATCCTTGTATCAATATTACTCTGATACTCCAATACATTCCATTTTTGCTTTTGCAGCATTAAAATTACTTAATAAAAACAGAAGCACTACAAAATTCACTCTCTGCTACCTTTCTTTTTTTGTTTGGATGATGACCTGAGGAAGTATGATCCATCTGGTCCTACCAAAATAATGGCATCAAAATGAAAGATCTGGTTTCACCTAAAATTTTCTCTCCCAATATAACAAAACATAAACCTTCACTTACATGACTGTATTCTATATATTTTTAAAAAGTGAACGACCATGATTTTTCTGATTAGCTGTTGCGGATTAATCAGTGTGAGATATTAACGCATGGATAATTATCCTTGCCACAGCCGTTACGACTCTTGTAATACAATATATAATTCAGGAATATATTTCACAAAACCACACCTAGAAACAATCACTATTTCAGAGTCCCTGGTTCACCATATTCTAACACAACTGTCCATGACATTCACAGCAGGAGCTCTGCTTGCTTTCATCTGACCTTAGGACAGTAAAAGAAATGGCAGTGGTTGCCGTGGCACCCAGTCATGATATGGGAACTCCTGGATGTTCAAATGCTTGTCTTTTGGGTAATTTATTGGCAAATACAACAGTTGAAGATCTGAAACACTGTGTTTCTATTTAGATATTCTCATTATGAAGTATTAAGAATTTATCCCTGACCTCCCAATTTCCTAGCATATAGTTTCCCAATCCCACAGAAACATAATTTACAAAAATGAAAAGAAAAACTATCTGACAGCATTTTTAAACAGTGTGACATTAACTGATCCCTCTGATTGCCTAGAAGATATGATGTCATTTCTAATATTCCAAATTAAGAACCCACTTTAGGAATTCCTAAGCTGCTTTCTCTCATATGTTGTACACTAAATAAGTTGTATAAGAAACTACCTTTTAAAGATCCTAAAAATGTATAAATGCCATAAAATGGATTTATAAATAAATTAGTAGTTCCAGTGATTTTTAAGTCAATCCATACATAAAGGTTAATATTAACATTTTAATAGGCAATTTTGAAAGACATTTCCTAAAAGGCAATTATAATACATTTCTTTTTTATGAGAATCATATATATTCACAAGAACTGGTATAAATAGTAATTAGGCTCCTAAGCTAGAAATCTCACCAAAGCCTTAAAACAGTATAAAAAGCCTAACCAAAATCTCTCGACACTACTCAAGATGAATCCTCTAATGAAATTCACCACTGTTGCTAACACTGGTTCTCATCCTTGGCTGCATGTTAGAATGAACTTGATAAAACAGTGTGCAACTCATCTACTATATAGTATCTCTTTAAGCTGAACATTTTCCTTTCCAAATTAAGAATGTAAATATGGTCAAATAGTATATTAAATAATAAATACATGAATACATGAATAAATATGGCAGTAGGGTTTTAGCTTTCTAGTAGTACAAGCTGCTCAACTCCCAACATAAGACTAAGTCTATTTCCCCTCCTATTCTGGCCCCTGCCTCTCCTTCTCTCTCAGAATCAATTAGAGGTAGGATGAAACTTACTTGCCTATAGAACCACTGGTTGTGTTTCACTATTTTGCCTATTAGCTTTTATGTTATGGTCCAGAATGTACAACTCCAAACAGACAGAATTGCATGAATTCAGTAACCAGTGATGAAAAATCTTTACATACAATTTTATTATACACTATTGCAAAAACTGATATTCAACTCCCAGATCAGAAATACTAAATTTAGGTTTCATTTAATTTGTTAATTAGTTGAACTACAAGTATAAAAAGCATCCAGGTCTTGGTATTTATACTTAATTCCCCTTTACCTGCATTGCTGTTTATGCATAATATAACATTTGAAATGGCTAATATTCAGAGATACAGCTAATATTTAGAATTTTTGTTCTCTTTCTCTGAAAACAAAAATGTTCCTTAGAGAGTAAGGATTTGGCCACTAGCAAGAAAAAAGTAACATAAAAGCAGCTGCTGAGTACTCCTCTCTCTAAATAAAACAATGGGCTAGAACTCATATTACTTTATACTTACGAAAACTTTCAACCACAGTAAAGGAGAATTCCTTTCCCAGTATCTTAGTGTCTAAGTGTATTTATTCCGTAGAGGAGAGGTGCTTAATGGGAATCAGTGGTGAGCACTGAGTGATAATTACAAGCTCTCAATATCAGGCAACTACAATCACAGTTTGACAAATGAGTATCTGAACCAAGATACCATTATGAAAAATAAACAAAATCATTTCTTTAAAACTACATTATTTAAGAAGCAATTTTATTGACCTGTTCAACAAATTATTAAAATGGCTTATTCCATGAGGTAAAAAAGGAGTTTTAAAATTTTCAGCTAAGTTGGGAAAACTGCCAAACTGTCTTTTTGAGTCAATTGCTCTGCCACATTCTATCAAGCTGAATTTTTGACTCAAACATTTAGCTCAATTTCCTAATACTATTTAATGAATTAGAAGCCATTTACATCTTAAGAATTTAAAAAAAAAATTTTGTTCTGTTAAAAAAAAAAAAGATTTCAATGTTTTCTCTAAGTAAAATACATACTGTAAATAATAAGGATGGGCAAAAGAGAAACAGATTTTCACTCTTAAGTGCTTCTTGAATGTGTAAGAAGTTGCTTGGGCTTTAATTATAACAATTAAACAGAGAGACTAGCTCCAAACCAAGATCAGGAGATAGAGAGACACACGAAGAGAAAGAAAGCTAGGTATGAAAAGGACAACATATGGAATGGATATGTGTTAAGAAAAATTCAGGAACACTGCTACAAGACAGTTGAATCAAGCACTGTGTAGAACTAAAGTTTATAGTAAACCCAATTATACAGAAATTCACCATGCAGTTTATAGGTTACTTATACTCAATTCTTACCAACACCTCCTTGAGAAGAAAAAACAAAGATGGAAAAACACAAATATATTTTCCTACTTGTTAACATCACAAAGCAATTTAAACTTAAGGTTAAAATAAGACTTAAGGTCAGGTGTGGTGGCTCACACCTGTAATCCCAGTACTTGGGAGGCCCAGGTAGGCAGATCACTTGAGATGAGGAGTTCAAGACCAGCCTGGCCAACACGGCGAAAGGCTGTCTCTACTAAAAATACCAAAATTAGCCAGGTGTGGTGGCACATGCCTACAATTTCAGCTACTCAGGAGGCTGAGGCAGGAGAATTACTTGAACTAGGATGTGGAGATTGCAGTCAGCTGAAATTGTGCCACAGCACTCCAGCCTGGGTGACAGAGCGAGACCCTATCTCAAAAAATAAAAATAAAAATAAAATGAGACTTAAAAGAGTACCTTTCTATCATACTGACCCAATATTATGTGTCCTCCCAATAATAAAATCTCAAAGTTAACTGTAGGTGTTGGTAATGACAACAAAATATCGCTAATTGGTAATTCAATGAAATGAGTTTTCTAGAGACAAAATGACTTTAAGCAGTTGGTAATTCATGAAATGATCACATTCCAAATTAAGCAATATCTAATTTAAAGAGAAGTTACCGTTCTAGAAAGTCCAGCTATTTAGAACATAGCATA